TCAAGGTTTTAGAGCCTTTTAAAGGAAGGAAAGGGAGGAGTCATTTCACGAGGAGACTCTTGAGTAAACCTAGGGGGATATATAGGGAGTAATGATGTCAAAATTCAAAAAACCTGACAGACAAAGTCTTCTAGAGCAGGGGGCAAGACGTACCGCTAAGTACACGCGGCAGCAAGGCAAACCCATAAAATCCGAGGCGTGTTGCTCATGGTTCGACGGCTGGAGGGAAAGTAGTTTGTAGGAAAAGTCCTAGGTGTAGGAAGTATTCCCGTCCTAGACCTAAGAATCTACCATCAAAACCAAAGGCTTTTCCCGCCTGGAGGACAATTGTTGGGCCAAGTCGGAATAACTACCCAAACCACAACCCATATAAGAGGAATCAGCCCGATAAGCAAGCAAAGCCCAATAGAAGGAGTGGAGACGCAAAGTATAGAAGACTGCTGGAAGCGGGAGGAGGGAAAGTACGAGCGATAGGGTGACAATAGTGCTAATTATGCCAACCTTGAAACGACATTAAATGCGTCTGGAGGCATTGACTCGCTAAAACACAACTTCTAACAGAGGCCAAGTTTAACCAATGAAAGGGATTGCAGTATAGTTTCTCAAGTAATAAATATAAAAAATACAGTTCTCTAGAGTTCCTATTACTCAGCTTTAGTTCATTATCTAGAAAACCAGATTAAGATAGAACAACTAAAACTACTCTAGCAAACTACGGTTAAAGTTAATCTAGTTATAGGTTGGGAACTCACTTTGGTATGATTCCCCCTAGCCACTAGCTAGATAAATGATTGATGATCTCTAACCTGTTTCACTTTCATTCACAATGCAGAGAATCCTTGACTAGACATTATATCCCGACTAAAGGATCAAGGCCCTCTTGAGTCGATTGCCTAGAGGGACGTATCCTTCTCTAGAACAACCGATCAAGGCGTTCCGAGCTAGACTCCCCCTAACGAATGAGGGTCTCAATCGATACAAAGTAGTGAATCGATCCTCGACTAAAGCAATCAATCCATTACTATCAATCTATGGTACTCTATTGACCTAATCAGGTATTCACTCTCATAGGATCAAAGCATAATCAATAATCTCGACTAAGCAGAATTGAATCATGAAAACATGCATTTGAATACGAACTCAAGATTATCAAGTAAGAGTACTCATACAATCATCCAATCTAAAAAACATGGCTAGGATTCCTCAAAATCTAAGTGAAGGGAAGTTACTCCGATCCATAGAGAAGAGAGAGACAGCAGTAAGAATCTTCAAATGATCAGTCTTCAAGTTCGGGCTTGTTCCTCGAGCTTCCAAGGCGAAGAATTCCTCCAGTTTCACTCCAAGATTGCCCTCAAATCGCCCTCTCTCTCTTTGGTTTGTCCCTTGGGTATCAGGGAACCAAAGCCCAGCTCTCCCCTCCAAAAACGCACAAAACAGGCTTTTAACAGTCCGAGCTCGCGAAACCCGGGGAACCGGCCGGATATCAACAAAATACTCAGTGTCAATTTTCTGCACAAAAGGGAAAATACTCGGTTGGGTTTTTTGGTACCCAATCGGGTATTTTTAGTTCACGACTGGGGGGCCTTCTGAGCTCTGATCAAAATACCCTATCATATGCTCAAAATACCCGATGACCGGGTATTTTATAGTTTCGGGTCACCTATCTATGATTGTTCATTTCTCTCTCGCTCAGACTCCAAATCAGGTGCCCTCGTAGTCTCGTCCTCTTTCTTCTCATGACAAGATTACATGATTATCTGGTCACAAAATGAGTTAGAAATCCATTCTTCTTCAAGTCATGCCCGATTTTCTTCCCCTGAGGCGCCAATTGATCTCCGATTGACTTGAAATTTGCGCCTATTCTTCACTTTATGTGCTAGGACCTGAAATATGACAAAGGAACACAACCTAGCGTAAAATAGGCCAGAGAAGAGATAATTCAAGGTTAAACGATCAAGAAACAAAGGGGAAAACATGTGGAGATATCAAGTCATCTGGCGTTATCATGGGAATTGACGTTTACTATACGCACAACAGAGCATTAAATGCTCATACCAACCACCATCGGCTATAAATACCACTCAACCACATCATTTAATAGTAACTAACCTACCCACACTCTCTCTACTTTATCTATCACTAACTTGATCATTGGAGAATGATCCGAGTCTCCACCTCCGAATCCCTTCTGCAGGAGTTGAAGTCTATCCGTATTGTAGTGAACCCAACAAAGGCAACTTCATTCCTGGCTAGTACATTATAGGCCTAAACAATAACATTAACATGGTCATGCATCATGCTTACAACATGTTTTGCACAAGAGCCTTTTCGTGGCTGATTTGCCTACCAATGCTATATATATATATATATATATATATATATATATATATATATATATATATATATATATATATATATATATATATATATATATATATATATATATACACTTCAGCCTTTTATAATTGATAGATTCAGTAATATTATATATGTGCACAAAACCTCATCTCTACTTCGAAATTCCAATTCACTACCCCAACACCAAAGAAACCCCACTCCGTCCTATTCACCAGTCTCCGGTTTCCACCAAATATGGAAGCTTCAACCGACGCCGGGGCAAAGAAACCCCACTTCGTCCTACTAACCAGCCCCGGCATCGGCCACCTGATCCCCGTCCTCGAGCTCGGAAAGCGACTCGTCACCCACCACAACTCCGCCGTCACCGTCTTCATCGTCACCTCCCACTCCTCCCAGGCGGAGACCCAACTAACAACCGAAGCCGCCGCCGCCGTCGGAGCCCCGGCTGGCGGGAATTTCTTCAACGTAGTGAAATTACCGCCGCCGGAACTCTCCAACGTACTCGACCCAGCGGCGGCGGTCGTCACGCGCCTCTGCGTGCTCATGAGGGAACTCATTCCCACCGTCCGGTCAGCGGTCCAGTCACTCGCGGTCCGACCGAGGGCTCTGGTCGTGGATCTGTTCGGAACCGAGTGTTTTGTGGTGGCCGAGGAGTTGGGGATACGCAAATACTTGCTGGGAACTTCCAACGCGTGGTTTACCGCTCTGACGATCCAGACGCCGGTTTTGGATGGAGAAGTGGAAGGAGAGTACGTTGATCAGAAGGAGCCGCTCAAGATCCCCGGGTGTCGTTCGGTTCGACCGGATGAGGTGGTCGACCCCATGTTGGACCGGAAGGATCAAGTGTACATCGAGTACAGACGCATGGGGGTCGAGTTCCGGAAAGCCGACGGTATGATTACTTTTCTTTCATCACATTTTCTTATAATTAATTATTTGGTTTTATTAGTTGTTTACTTATTTGTGTAGAATTTGAAGTAACCGTAACCATTTGTAAACAATTGGACAAAATTTCTCTCTTTATTAATTAAGTTAATCAGCCCCATAATTTCGTCGACCGCCTGTTTTTTTACGGCACGGCTAAATGCCATACTAGTTTTACTATACTCATTCTAACTTAAAATGTAAATTACTTAATCATCCTTCAACAAACAAAATAATAAAACAAACACCTCCTAACAAACCTCCTCAACTTTGTCGCTCATGGTTTCGGTGGCGGGTGTGGGTATTGGAGTGGATTGCAGCTTGCAGGCGATGGCAGTGGCAGTCGACGGCCGATGACAACAGGTGATTGAAATGTCAGAGAGAGAGCTTTTTGTTCTATTGTTACATGTTGTTTTTGTTATTCCTGTAAAATAAATCATAGAAAAAAATCTTAATTTGTAAATTAGGATGATTTAAATAAAAGATATGACACATTTTTATAAGTACCAAATCAGGACAGCAGAACCATTAAATCAGTTACAATAGCGGTTCAGTTCATTTGATTGGACAATTAGAGTTTGATAAGAGTAAGACAGTTTGTAATGATTGGACATGAAATCAAATGAACCACAACAGTTTAACTGGTCCACTATTTTAACCACAAAATTTTAAGAAAAAAATATACATTAGCATAAACTAAGACCATCCAACCTCAGTCACTATTTTATTGATGCTTCCTTTTTTCTCATTTCATAACCCTCCTCGTCGAATTTATCTTGTTCACTACAGATTGTCACTCTTATTATTGACTCAAATTAATAAAAATATGAAAATAAAATTTGAATATTTATTAGAGCAAGCACTCCATATTTTTCCGAAATAGATAAAATTTTAATTAAGTAGATGTTATTCCGGTAAATTTTGCTTTGAAACGACTATTCCTTAGATACACATGTGATATTTTTTATTTTATTTTAAATGAAATCAATTTAAAAAAGACATAAAGTTAGTGATTTATCAATAGCAAGTGTTGCTCCAATACATAACAAAATAAAAAAAAATGATTTCTTTTGTGATAGATAATGCGTATTTGAATTTTTTATGAATAGTGTAAATTCACTTCTAAGTTAGTGTATTATATATGTCGTTTATATTATAGCGCATGAATAATTTTATCAAAAATGAATCAATGATTCTATAACAATTAATTGTTGAACCATCAATTACTAACTTTTTGATTCAACATCTGTTGCAATTATGAAAACGTTTGATAATGGATAATGATGCTTTCTATTATTTTATTTTTATCAAACTAATGATCACTACCACTTTTCTTAACGTAATGGATTGTCTATTGTAATTAGGGCGGCCATTATAAGAATTAAAAATTAGAGCGGTCCAATCTAAAGTGATATGGACAATTGGCACTTGGCAGGTCATTGTATTAGTCAAATTACGTAACTGGGTGCTATACAGTACAAAAATGTCAATAACTATCATTGATTCATTTTTTCCCACAGATAGATCATTGATTCATTTAATCATTTCACAACACAATAATTGCAGTAAAATGTTTGATTCCTCGGCTTCTAACTGCTTTCTTTTATTATTTTATATTATTCAAATCATAATAAGTTACACTTTTCTTTACCTATTTGTCTATAACTTGGAGCGGTCCAAGCTAAAGTGATGCCAAAGTGATCTTGTATGGCTATACGATTGGCAAAGTCATTGTATTAATGAAGTCAATAGGTAACTGGGCATTATCAGGAAGTCAATCACTATCAATCTATAATTCCTGTTTAGTACTATTCTCAGTTACTGTTTTTAAAAGTGAAAACAGATACTAAAAACATGTTTAGTTATGTTTTCACATGTTGTGGCAACATGAGTTGACAACACAACATAAATTAGTTGAAGTTACAATAAGTAGCTTCTTTATTGTTTTCAAAAGTTTTTCTCGTGGAATCCAATTAACCGTTGTAATAATTTCATTCAAATGAGTATATGACTAGGTCTCACTAAATTTACTTTCTACACATGATTTCCCTTTCCATTTTTCGCATAACTTGTCATGACTGTTTCTAAGAATTGGAAAATTGGGGGATCGATAAAGTAAGAAAAACGAAAGCAATAATGAACACGACGCACGAATTTACGTGCTTCACTAACACGATGTGTGTTAGCTAGTCCACGAGTAGGAGAGAGCAAGTTTGACTATACTTCGAGAAGATACAGATTACAGAGGAGTATAAGAAATATTTGTAGTATTTCTCCATATGGTCTAACCCTAATCCAATATGGTAAAGGAAAACGGTTACAAACCAGGCCCGGAGTAGAACCCAAATAACAACGATACCCCCGTGACTTCCCATCATAGCAGATAGTCCGATTCAAGTCATATCAACAAATTTCCACCTTGACTTGAATTATCTTCCTCTGAAATCTCCTATGTACTCTCTTCCGACACCAATGCCCCTTAGGGCGGATTCACCCACTCAGAACATTCAGCAAATCGAAGTAGTGTTGGAACTTTTCATGTGGAGTCGATTTCGTGGACATGTCAGCTGGACTGTCCACAGTGTCAATATTTTTCACCTTAATCCTCTTCTTTATCCTCAAGAAATGATATCTCACGTCGATGTACTTAGTTCTCTCATGGTGGAGTTGATCAATGGCCAAACATATTGCACTCAAACTATCACAATACACCAACCAGCCCCTTCAATCATATTTCCTCCTAAGCAGCTTCTGTCAACGCCATGTACTCTGCTTTAGTAGTAGATAATTTCACTATCGACTGTAGAGTTTTCTTTCAGCTTACCACAGGACTCCCAAAAGTGAATACATAACTGGTCATTGATCTCCTCGTGTTGACATCTCCATCACAATCAGAATTTGAATAACCAAACACTAAGAACTATGTATCACTTCCGAAGCTAATCCCCACATTAGACGTACCCTTCAGGTAACGAAAAATCCTCTTCACAGCCTGTCAATGTTCCTTTCCAAGTTGTATCATAAACCTGTTGACAACACTAACAACATGTGCAAGATCAGGTCTAGTGCAGATAATAACATACATCAAACCACCTATTGCACTAGCATATGAGACTATCGGCATGTACTCCTTCTCGTCCTCTGACTGTGGTGCATGAACTGAGATAGATTAACATTTGAAGCACTAGGATTATTCAAGGGCTTTGCTGAAGACATGCCCAAACCTGGACAATATCTTCTGGATGTAACTCTTCCGTGACAAGAAAAGCTTCTTATTCTCTCTATTACTGTAAATCTCCATATCCAAAATCTTTTGAGCAGCTCCTAAATCTTTCATCTCAAACTCAGCACTGAGAAGTCCTTTAACTTTTGGATATTAGACTTCGACTTTGCAGCTATGAGCATATCATACACATACAGAACTAGATATATCATCGAACCATTCTTAGCCTTGTTGTGATACACACAACGATCATAAGGACTTCTATTGTGAGAAATTTTACAATGCTATATAGTATTGGTGCTATAGGGTTTTGCCTTTATGGTACAACTTAAAATTGTACATTTACGTTATGGTACAATTTCAGATTGTACCTATACTTTTTGTACAAATTCTTTTATGGTACAACTTGAACTTGTACTTTTATGTGATGGTACAACTTCAAGTTGTAAAGTTGTACCATAACATAATGGTACAAATTGCTTTATGGTACAACCTAAACTTATACATTTAATGTTATGGTACAACTTTAAATTGTACATTAAAGCACCAATACTATATAGCATAGTAGAAGTTCTCCTTCTATTGTAGCCCAACTCTAGCATATAACTGTCAAACTTCTTGTACCACTATTTCAGGGATTGCTTAAGTCCATACAAGCAATGCAGTCAAAATCGGGATTTTGATCGTAAAATCGTAGTATTTTAGAATTTTGCTTAGGAATTCGATCCGGATTTTAATATAAAATCGATGGACCTTAAAATCGTTTAAAATCATACAAAAATCGGGATTTTGATCGTATGAGAAAAAATAGGTGTTTCGAGCCAATTTAAAAGAAGCATAACGGGGGAAAGGGGAATGACGAGAATCTTCTCAGATATTTTTATAAAATATTTAAAAATAATAAAAATAACCAAATTAGGGCTCGGTCAATCCCTTTCCCTTCGCCCCATTTAACTTATTGGTAAAACAATTATCCTAATATTGGAAGTACGTAAGAATTAACATCATTATTAACTAATTAATTTATAAATAAATATATTTGTACCAAGGCACTAGCATTACTTATTTTATTGGAGTTCAAATATTTTTAGTTTTAAATCATACTTAGACGATGTAGGAATATTACTTTGAGTTAAACTACCTAGACAACATGAAAACAAGAGACAAACCCATGGAGCTTTATTCCTTCCTCGTTAATTATTTTGAGTTACGCATTAAATAACAATTAAAATAGTAATTTTGGAGCATGAATCTTGAGAATTTATCTTTTGTAAAAAAAATACTGAGAATTATCATTTTAAAGGTTATGTGTCTTTGTGTTATTAATGATTTACCTTATTAATAGTATTATAGGTTATGTTTTATATGGTTCTTAAAATTCTACGATTTTACGATTATGATTTTATCCCAGTTTTCGATTTTAGGTAAAATCCTGATTTTGACTGCTTTGCATTCAAGGACTTCTTCAACTTACAAACATAATCTTCTTTCCTGGAACCTTGAATCCCTCAAGTTGAGTCATGTAAATTTCTTCTTCCAATCCATGTAGAAAAGTTGCCTTCATGTCTAGTTGCTCGAGCACCAATCATAATATGGCACTATTGCTAGTAACACTCTGATCGAAGTATGTTTGACCACTGGTGAGAAAATCTCCTAGTAACCAACTCATTCCCTCTGCATGAAGCCTCTTGCAACTATCTGAGCTTTAAATTTAATGCCCTCTTGAAATTATTCCTTCCTTCTTCTTGTAGATTCATTTTTTTTTTGTAACAATCTTCCTTCCCCGTGGTCGTTTAACCAAGTCCCAAGTTTGATTCTTATCATGAGATTCCATCTCATTCCCATTGTGGCAAACCATTGAGCAGCTTCGCCACACGAAACCGCTTCTCTGTAGGATTGTGGTTCACCCGCATCCACTTCTTCAGCCACCTGAAAAGCATATGTCATAACATCCTCAAAGCCATACCTCTGTGGAGGTACTCTTGCATTCGCTCTCTTTGAAATAACAGAAGCTATTAATTCTTGAGCTTGTGCACTAGACTCTGAAGTTTCTAGCTTATCAGAAACATCATCATGTTGATCTTCTCCACCTTGGTGCTCAAACTCACTCTCTTTAAGAGTTTGCAGCTCCGCCTGTTTATCAACATTCCTACAATCTCCAACAGCAGTATCCTTCAACATGGGGTTAAACATAGATTTCTCATCAAATATTACATTCCTACTGAGTATAATAGATTCAACTCTTGAAGGACCCCGACAATCAAAGTGGAGGTAATCTAGTATCCCCGTCTTCCAGTGGATATCGTTCTTAGGAAATTTACTAAGATGTAATTTTCCAAGCACACAATGCTCACAGAATTCCAAACTCTGCACCTTGTGCCTGCAAAAAAGATCTCTCTTTGAAAAATTTGCATCCCCCATTCTCTCATATTACACAGTCTCATATGCCATAGAGTGGTTATATCTTCCCGATGAACCTGAGATGGTGCAACAGCAGCAAAATCGGACAACACAGACCCTTATAATGCATACAAGGTACCACGCTTCACATCTTTTAGTACCTTCATCGAACCTTTGCTGACATATACAACTCCACATTTTTCCTTGAAACTGAGACCCTTGTTGTCGAGAAGACTTAAAGAGATCAGATTCTTTGTCATTTGTGGAACATGCTTGACATCATTCACAGTATAAAACAAACCATAATGTGTTTGAATCTTGATAGACCCGATTCCAACCACTTTGCAAACATCTCCATTGGATATAACCACGTTACCACCATCTATTTGCTCGTAGGTTGAAAAGCAATCCTTATTCGGAGAAACCCTACTGTCACGACTATTTCTATGGATCGGGAAATCGGAGGAATGACAAAGCAAGAAAAACAAAAGTAAGAATCAAACACAACACACGTATTTACGTGGTTCACTAACACGTTGTGTGTTATAGCTAGTCCACGGGTAGCAAGATCCCTGTAACTTCAAGTCGTAACCAGATAGTCCGATTCAAGTCATATCAACACATACATCGTCATGATGTACTTACTCATCTACAGCCAACGAGATCGTCTTCAGAACTGTTGTCCACTTCTGCTACGACAACCGATCCTTGATTCTTTTATTGCCCTTTTCTTCTTGGACAGTTGTACTTACTACTTCCAATGTCCCACTTTTTTAAAGATGTGATTGACATCGATAGACTGTGGACCGGAACCCTTAGAATTCGGATTTCTATTCGAATTCCCTTCACCATATTTCTTCTTTCCCTTTCATCGGTACAACCAACCCCGATGCTTCACCACCTGTACCAGATCCGACCGCCTTATGTGTGATCTCTCTCGTATGAAGAGCATATCTGACATCTTCCAACGACAAGCTATATTTACCAACAATAAAAGAATCCACAAAATTCTAATATGAACTCGATAAAGAAACAAACAGGATTAGGGAAGCATCTTCGTCATCAACTTTAACATGCATATTGCGCAAATCTAACAAGATAGAATTAAAATTTTCCAGATGTTCCGTCAAAGGTGTAACCTCTTGCATCCTCAAGATGACCTACCGTTGCTTGAGATGTAGCTTGTTGGTTGAGGACTTCATCATATACAGGCTTTCCAGCTTCAACCACAAGTCTGGGACAGTCTTTTCCGCAGCGACTTCAATGATGACACCATCAGACAACGATATCATGATGGTCGAGTGGGACTTCTCCTCCAGGGTATTTCACTCATCGTTATCGACATCTATCTTCTTCTATTTACCAATTAGCGGCCCCCACAGTCTTTGTTGTTCAATAGCCGGCATCTTGATCTGCCATATACCGAAATTGTTATTTACCGTGAACTTTTTGATCTTCATGTTCACCAAAGTCATTCTTCAATCTCGAAACCCTAGCCTGATTTCCAACTGGAGTGCTGATACAACTTGTCACGCCTACTTTTGTTTCAGCCCTAATCCAATATGGTAAAGAAAAACAGTGACAAACCAGACCCATAACAGAAACCCAAATAACAGCGAGACACCATGACTTCCAGTTGTGGCCAGATAGTTCGATTCAAGTCATATAAACATAACTCATCACCGAAACCTTACTGCAAATATTATTTTCATATATGTTTATTCCTCAATTTTATCATAATTCGTCAGGTCATATTACTCCTCTATTATTTTCCTACTTTTGTTTCAGTCTAAACGTTGTTACAATACAAGGCCTCATGAAGTAACTAAACATATAAAATTGTCAACTTCCATGATTTCTCGGAATTATCAACCAAACATGTTTATGTTTTTTTTTTTTCATAATGTTATAGTTGTACCTCTGTTATCACAATCGTACTGCAGCCACAATGGCAACAAAACCGTATTAAACACATCGAAATTCATTCCTTGGTTTCTATGTGGTTTGGCTTGATTTTGGGCAGGTATTTTGATAAACACTTGGGAGGATCTGGAGCCCGCTACCCTCGCCGCACTGCGAAACGACGACTTCTTCGGTCGTATGGTCATTCAGGGAGACATTCTAGCAATTGGTCCGTTGGTTCGACGTCCAACCTGCAGACCATCAGACGCAACAAGCCGGGAGTTGTTGTCCTGGCTAGATAAGCAACCCAATGAGTCGGTGGTTTACGTTTGTTTCGGCAGTGGTGGGAACCTCTCAACCTCTCAACAGATCGAGCTGGCTCATGGGCTGGAACATAGCCAGCAACGGTTCGTTTGGGTGGTCCGCCAGCCCACTGGTGTAAAGGACTCGGCCTTCTTCAGTTCTGGAAAGTCTGAGGAGGATATCGATGGGATTCATCATGACTTGGACAACCGCTACGGCCTGCCAGAAGGTTTCGTGGAGAGGACGCGCCACGTGGGGCTGGTGGTCCCGGAGTGGTCCCCGCAGTCGGAGGTTCTGAGCCACGCGGCGGTGGGAGGGTTCGTGTGCCACGGTGGATGGAACTCGACGCTGGAGAGCATTCGGAGCGGGGTGGCGATGATGATGTGGCCGCTATACGCAGAGCAGAGGATGAATGCGACGCTGGTGGCGGAGGAGCTCCAGCTGGCGTCGAGGACCGAAACGATGCCGTGGAGGGGAGTAGTCGGGAGGGACGAAGTGAAAGGGATGATCAGGGAAGTGATGGTGGGCGAGAAAGGGGAAGGAATAAGGGAGAGGGTGAAAGCAGCTCAACGCAGTGGGGAGAAGGCATTAGAAGAAGGTGTTGGGTCGTCTTATAAAGCTTTGGAAATGGTGGTTAAGAAGCCCTGTTAAGAGGTCAAGATACACTCGATCGCTAACGAAACTCATGCTCACGAGGAGGGAGGTGAGAAGGAATGAGTTAGAATTATGTTTTTTTTTTTGTCATAGTAGAAAATTGTTGTTAGAGAATCATAATATTCAAGCATATGATATGTACGTTCATAATATTTCATAGGGTTAATAGCATTTTCTGTCCCTGTATTATTTCAAATTAACAAACGTGCCCCTATACTATGATTTTGCACAAAGGTGCCCCTGTATTATTACGACGTAACGAAAATGCCCTTCTGTCAAAAGTTCCGTTTTCTCACCGTTAACTGGGTTTGGAAATGACCAAAATACCCTATGTTGAATTTTGAAATTATCACTCAGAATCGACCTCTCTCTTCTCTCTCTTCTCTCGCCGATTTTCTAAACCCTAATTTGCGCGATGGCGGCCGTCGCTGACGGTGAGACTGCCGTTGGCGACGGTCGACAGTGGGCAGCTCTTTTTGGAATCCCGGAGGATAATCGACTTGACTACTATGAGCCGGAATTTGTGAATGACTCGCTGAGGATTCCACGGGAGGTTGTAGAGGAAGGGGCAAAGCGTTGGGAGAATTGTTTGGTGGGTCAATTCATTGATCGGCCGGCTTCGATTTCTTCGATAAGGTACTGGGCTAACTGGTTGTGGGGCAAGGAGGGTGTGGTCAAGGCTTCTTGGATGGGCAGAAGGCTGGTGATGTTTCAATTCTCCTCGGCTGAGATATGTCAATGGGTATTTGAAAACGGGCCTTGGCATCACAGGGAAAATCTCTTGTTTCTTAGGAAGTGGGAGCCTGGGATTAGTCCTCTGAAGATTGATAACACTGCACTTCCGTTGTGGATTAAGCTATCCAATCTGCCAACGGAGTTAACTTCGAAGGAAGGTTTGGGAAGAGTGGCTAGTTCGCTGGGGAAACCACTATGTATGGATAAATCTACTACTCAGGGCCAGAAAGTGGGGTTTGCTCAAATCTGTGTAGAGGTTAAGGCTACTGCTAAGAAGATAACGAAGTTGAGTGTAACACCTGATGGGCTTCCAGAGCTCTTTATTGATGTGGTGTACTGCCATATGCCGAAGGTGTGTGAGAAGTGTGGCTGTTTTGGGCATAGTTGTGCTACTAAAGTGGAGGAGTCGCAGAAGGTTTGGGTGAAGCGAAATCCAGTGATAGGTGAAGTTCCAACTGAGCAGGGATCAGTAGGGGTTCAGGAAGTGGTGCAGAGTACAAACATGAGTACAGAGGCTGTGGGATTAACTACTCAGAATAAGGAGCATGAGATTGCTGCAGTTGTGGTAGAGCACATGGCAGGAAAAGAGATTGATACTACAATGGGAGCACAAACCCCTTCTCCAAAGAGTGGGTTGGTGGACAAGGATGGTTTTACTCTCGTTGTTAACAGGAAGCAGAAGCAGAAGATATGGATTGGCACTGGGTCTGGCAGTAAGGAGATTCCAAACTATAATGCTCAAAAATCAGGGAGTCAGCATCGTATTAGTACTGGGGCTAGGCCAGTATTGAATTGTCCTCCATCTACTCCTAAAGGGAGAGGTAGGGGGAGGAAAAGAGGTAAATGAAATTACTCAGTTGGAATGTCAGGGGGTTCAACTCCCCTGACAAGCACTCAGCTGTTCTTGAGCAGTTGAGGGTGAGAAGAATAGATATTGTAGGTTTACTAGAAACAAGAGTTACTAAAGAAAATAGTAAGAAAATAATTGAAGGAGTGTTTTCTGCTTGGCAACATACTGATAACTATGATACTTCTACTTCAGGTAGAGTTTGGATTTTCTGGAGGGCATGTCTGAAGGTTACTCGAATTAATGAAGGGGAGCATTATTTACAGATTCTGGTGGAGGATACTACACCTTTCATAGTAGTTTTTGTTTATAGTCCAAATAAAGAGGGGGAGAGGAATAGGCTTTATCAGGAGTTAATACTTAGAAGGGATGCAAATATTCCTATGGTTTTCATGGGGGATTTCAATGCTATTGCTGAGGTTAATGAAACTTCAAATGTGCAGGAGGTTACTCAGAGTATGCAGGACTTTAGGGGGTGGATTAAGGATATGGAACTGATTGATCATAAGGTAACAGGACACTGGTTTACTTGGTGGAATAAGCAGCAGGCTAATCCCATAGCTCGAAGGATTGACAGAATTCTGGTAAATGAGGTATGGCTGGAAAAGTATAAGGATAGTTCATCTCGCACAAATCCTCCTGGGATATCAGATCATTGTGGATTGATTTTGGATACTGAGCCTGGACTGAAAACACTTCCTAAACCGTTCAAGTACTTCACATTCTGGCAGGCTCACCCTAACTATATGAATCTTGTAGAGCAAGCTTGGAAAAAGCAGGTAGAGGGGTATCCTTCGTATATCTTTTATGGCAAACTCCATAGTGTGAAGCAGGCTCTGAAACGACTAAATAAAACAGTTTATTCAGACATATCCAACAGAGTGAAGGAAGCAGCAGTTGAACTGGAATCTGCTCAGCGTGCTGTTTTACTTAGTCCTAATGCAGAATCAGTGGCAAAGGAAAAACAGTTGTGTATTGAGTATATTGCACTCAGGAATGCTGAAGAACAATACTATAGGCAGAAAGCAAGAACTCAAGCTATACAGGAAGGAGACATGAATACAGCTTACTTTCACAAAACTGTAAAAGTTAAGACTCAAAGGCAGCAGATTACTAGAATGCAAAATGACAGGGGTGAAATTAAAACTGATGTGCAGAGCATTGGCAAGATTGCAGTTGAGTTTTATGAGCAGTTAATTGGGGTTGAGGACTCTAATGTGGAGTCAAAAGAAGATTCATATTATCAAGGACTAATCCAGCACAGGCTATCTAAGGCTGAACAGATGGATCTGATGAGAGGTATAACAAGGGCAGAGATCAAGCAGACTTTCCATTCTCTTGGCAAGGATAAGGCTCCTGGCCAGATGGGTTTCCAGCTGAATTTTACAAAGCACACTGGTATCTTATTGGTACTGCAGTTGAAGAGGTAGTCCTTTCTTTCTTTTCTACTGGTTTTATGCCATCTAATGTGAATAGCACAATATTTACACTGGTAGCAAAAATTCCTAGTTCTGAGAAGATGAAAGACTATCGTCCCATTGCTTGTTGTAACACCTTATATAAGGGTATTTCAAAACTGTTAGCTAATAGACTGGCCCTAGTGCTCCCAAGTGTGATAAGTCGATCTCAATCAGCTTTCATTAAGGGGAGATCCATAAGTGATAATATTCTACTTGTGTCAGAATTGGTTAGAGATTATCATAGGAAGAACATTACTCCTAGATGTGTGGTGAAGATTGATATAATGAAGGCGTTTGACTCAGTAAACTGGAAGTTTCTGTTTAAAATTATGGAGGCAATGGGATTTCCAGAGGGATTCCTTAAACTGATTTTTTCTTGTGTCACCACACCAACTATAAGAGTTGCTGTAAATGGAGGGTTGTGTGGAAATATTAGGGCAGGTAAAGGATTAAGGCAAGGGGATCCATTATCCCCCTACCTGTTTGCAATAGCAATGGAAGCCCTAGATTGTTTGACCAAGAAAGCAATGGTTGATAATCAGATACCTTATCATCCTCGCTGCAAACCTCTTATGATTTCCCATTTATGTTTTGCTGATGACTTGATGATGTTTACCAATGGGTTAGTTAGAGGGGTTGCTGGTATTAGAAGATTAATGGATAGCTTTTATAAGTTATCTGGTCTGAGGTGTAACCCAGCAAAATGTCAGCTATTCTGTGCTGGTATTCCAAAGGAAGAAATGATTACTATTTATGAAGTTACTGAATTCCCTCTAGGGACACTTCCTGTGAGATATTTGGGAGTACCACTCATTACAGGAAAACTAACTAGGCAAGATTGTAAAGTGCTGGTGGATAAAATAACACAAAAACTGAGAAGCTGGAGATCAAAATTGTTGAGCTATGCAGGCAAGATTCAACTCATATCGACTGTTATCACTAGCACTCTCCAATACTGGCTCAATATCTTCTTACTGCCTCAGTTTGTTATAAAGGAGGTGGGAAGATTGTGCAATGAGTTTTTATGGGATTCTGCTGAGGATGGAAGTAGAAAGAGAGCAGTTATGGCTTGGGATAAGTTGTCTATTCCTAAGAAGGAAGGTGGACTTGGAATAAGGAATTTTGGTGTATGGAACAAGGCTTGTGTATTGAGACATCTATGGGAGATTCTTACCCTGGGGGGTTCTATTTGGGTTGCATGGATTTCAAGGTATAGATTGAAAGGCAGAAGCATATGGGAGCTCTCAGCTGGTTCTGCTGGGACATGGATTTGGAAACGACTGTTGAAATGCAGGGCACTAGCCTCTCCATTTATTTCTGGGACTGGAAGCAATACTCTGTGGCAGGGGGAGAAAATGAAAAAGTTCTCTGTGTCTAGGGTATGGAATGATATCAGGGAGCACAAGCCAGAGGTGAAGTGGTGGAGATTAGTTTGGGCTAAGGAAATCATTCCTAAGCATGGACTGATTCTGTGGCTTGCTATCCATGGGAAATTGGTTACTCAAGATAAGCTTTTGGCTTGGGGAAAAAATGTCTCTGGTTGCTGTGTCTTGTGTCCAGGAGGTGTAGAGAGCAGAGATCATTTACTGATTAAATGCTCCTATTCTCTTTCTATTCTAAAGCTTTGTATGAAGAGTCTTGCTCCACCAGATGTAGGAGATTGGGAAGCAACAGTTGATTGGTGTGCAAAGGAATGGAAGAAGAAGTCTGCTCGATCAAGAATCTACAGAGTGTTGTGGTGTACTGCTGTGAGCTACATATGGCGTGAGAGGTGCAATCGACTGTATGGGGCTAAGGTAATCAGGGATCCAGCTATGGTGGTGAAGCTGATAAGTGAGGAAGTTACCTACAGAGTATATGAAGATCCTGTTCTTCAGATGGAGTTAGATAGTATTCAGTAAAAAATAGATAGGAAGGTTTTATACGTTTTTTGACTTTGCGTTGTAAATGTTTGAGAGGTGCTGCAGAGCTTTTTTTCACTCTGCAAGTGGCCTGGTCTTAATGCAATTTTTGATTTCACATAAATTTTTTTTTTTTTAAATTCCGCATTAATTTTTAAGGGTTATACACTGCCCATTAAGGAAAGGAAAAATGAGCACGTAACCCTACGAGTCCCGTTCCGTTTTCCCCTTCTCACCGTGCACCAATCGCCCGCCGTCTTCACTTACGACCTCCACCAACTCGCCCGCCGTCCACCATCTCGGCCGACGCCATCTTCTCCTCGCCCGATGCTATCTTCTCCTTGAGCGCCGTTGGCAGCAGCCACCACTTCTCCCGCATTTTTATTTTCTCAGAGGTCCACCATTTCTTCGGCGGACATCATCTTCTCCTGGGAGAAAACGACAACCAGTCGTGGCTAAAAATCCCAAAACACTAAATTGAGGATTGCTACTGGAATGCATGCTAAAAAGCCCAATCACATTAAGTCAAAGTAATCAGAACAAACTTAAATTTAGGGTTCCAAAAATTTCAGAATAAACATAACAGAGCTAGAATGGGGGAGAAAGGACATCTTTGATTTCTCTGTTGTGGAATCGAGAAGCCCAAGTGAGAAGAAGCAGCGGGACGAGTAAGAAACAGGGTTGGCTAACTCGGTCCATGCGGAGGGAGAAGTTGATCCGGTGGCGGAGGGAGATGGTGGTCCGACGGTGGCGGAATTAGAAGGTGGTCTTGCGGAGGGATTACTTGTTTCGAAAAGAACGTTCGTCGGAGGGAGAAGGATTCCTTCCTTCACATTCGCTGGATGGAGGCTTCGGCTGTGCTGTCAGTGCGAGAAGAATAGTCGAAGGTGTTTGACAGCGGGAAAAGGAAGACTCGCAGGAGTAGTAGATAGGCATGATGAAACACAGGGTATTTTGGTCATTTCCTAACCCAGTTAACGGTGAGAGAACAGAATTTTCAATAAAAGAGCATTTTCGTTACGTCGTAATAGTACAAGGGCACCTTTGTGCAAAATCATAGTACAGGGGCACGTTTGTTACCTCGCAATAGTACAGGGGCAGAAAATGCTATTAACCCTATTTCATAAATGTACGCGAACTCCTTAATGTACTTTGGTGGTTATATGTGATCATATGGATTCCTATCCAAATATTGTAAAATTATATCAAAAAAGCCAACGATAAAGTATTTTATACTGGAATTTTGGTTTAATTGTGATTCAGCCAATCCATACAGCTAAATATAGCCAATCAGTAGGAAATTTTTCTGGTTAAATTAATCGCTGGACGAGTAAGATTTTTCAATCCTGGTTCCCAGTGCTGTCAAAGCCGAACCGAGCCGGCCGGCCGGACTGCCAAAGCCACCACCCGGCCGTAAAACCGGCTCGGATCCGCTATTTAACCGCCACGGTTTTATACAGCGGCCGGTGAGCGGCCGAAGCGGTTAATCGCTCGAGCCGGTCGCGCGGTTCGGCCGTTTGATTTACCCTAAAAAAAATAGAAAAGGCCAATCGTGGAATCGGCCGTCAACACCTCTTGTCCCGGCATCGGCGCTTCCCGACGGCATTGCCATCCCCAGTCGCCATCGCCATCGCCAGTCCTTGTTGTAGCAAGCAGCTCCCCGCTCCCGGCGCTTCCATCCCGTCGCCACCGTCGCAAGCAGCTCCTCGCTAAGCTGCCCTGTCTCACCAGAGGCTTGGATTGAATCCGAGCCATTTCGCGGATTGGGACGAGGAAGAGCATTTACGGGTTAAGAAAGGATGAGGTGATGGATTTTTGAGGAATTGCAGAAGGCTATAGTGGCTGAAAAATGAAAATAGGTGCGGCGGTGGGAGAGGAGGAAGGAGGGAGGGGGATGGGGAAGCGGAAGGAAGGAGAGTGGTGGGTGGGGAAGCGGCGTTGTCGCTTAGGATTAGGTTAGGTTTTTTTTTTTAGTTGTTGTATATATATGTTGTGTAGAATTATTAAATAGTACCTGTAATTATCATTTTTACTCATTAAATTATTGAATTATTACTTTATGTGTGTTCTACTATGATATTATATTGTTTATAATGTACCGGTTCTCAAACGGTTTTTAAACGGTCTAATGCCGGCTGAACCACTAATGACCGAGCCGTTCACGTTACCGGGTCATACTCCGGCTCGGCTTTGACAGCATTGCTGGTTCCTATGACCTTTCTTTGGGAGGATTCCAATGCGGGCCGGCCCAAAGTAGCGCTCTTGATGTCATTTCAAACAAGATAAATATCCAGCCGCTAAATCCATGGGAAATAAAATGGAGCATTTTTAGCCCACTCCTTGCTAATTTTTTTAGCCCACTCCAAACATATAATAATTTGGAGGTCCATAGCCCATGAATTTAGACTCTTACAGTGTGCGCTAGGAAAGGGAGAAAAGGAGGGAGATGGGAAAAGGCATGGGAAAAATGGGAAGAAATTAGAGGAGAAATTTACTATTCTAGCATGTCTCTCAATTTGGGGAATTACATATGGTGAAAATAGCCATATCCATGTGAATTCGACCTGTATGAGTAGGGTTAAAATCCAAACCTGTATAGACCGTAAAAAAAAAAAAAAAATCCAAACCTGTATATTGTGGTGATAATTGGAAATGGTTTTTCACTATCCAACCTTGAATCCGTCCAATTATTAACATAATTTATATATATATGGCGAGTTCTACGGTACCCTGGGTAAAATCCGGGGTACCGCTTACCTTGAGTATGAAACACTATCTAGACCTTGAATTGACGGATCTTTCAGACATGATACTATACTCTAACCCTTAAAGATCAAAATCTAGGTCATAATTCTCCCAATCTTGTAATCCAAGATCAATTTGATTAGAAACAATAATCGACGATTATGATTCGTCCAAATATAGGCACAAAGAGGAAAGCATCATCTTAGGGTTTATAGATTATGATTTAGATAATTAGGACCTAGGGTTCACTCATTAAGGGTTAGGGTATAGTATCAGACCCAAAAATCCTGCTAATTCGAGGTCTAGATACCGTTTCCATAGTCAAGGTATGCGGTACCCCGGATTTCACCCGGGGTACCATAGAAGGCACTATATATATATAAAATATTTTCATGAAATTGTATTGTTTTCAACTAATTTTATTCGTTCTAATAATTTATTGTTGTAAGTTTTCACTTATGTGATGTCAATATACAAATAATTGTTAACATGTTTGTTGAAAGGGTATGGATATGATTTTGTTATTTTAACCGATTATTATATGAATTCGAGTATAGATACAAGCGTCATTTTTGTGATAGTTAGAGTGTCCTAGTGCATAAATTTAACTTATTTATCACACATTTTAATATATATTTTCCCTCTATCTTTTTTCCTCATTTTACCCCATAAAACACCATGTTCTCTTGCCATATTCCCCTACAATTTTCCTCCCTCCCAAATTTTATCTCCCCTTCTCATTTTTCTTCAGCTCTTCGGAAACAGAGGGTTAAATTTTATGGACCCCATAGTTTTCACCTCCTATGTGTATTAGGGAGTGGATGTGAAACCTAAATATGCAAAGAAAACAACCTCTATAGCACTAATATAATATTAGCTTAGTTTGGCCATGCCGCAGTTTTTGCAGAAGCAGCTTCTGGCTGGAGCTTTTTAGATAAGTACTTAAAAAAAATAGTTTAGTGTTTGGCTGTAAAACTATTAGAAGTACTTTTTAATATGAGCGGTTGTGTAAAATGACTATAAAGAACTTATAATATAAAATATAAATAAAAATTCTAAACAATAAAAAGTAGTCAAAATGGATCTTGTTAGATTTCTTTTATATTACATAATATGATTTTATAATTTATTTTATTTTTAATATGCTATAAATGAAGGAAAATTATATTTTCTGAAATAAAATTAAAATATGATAAGGATAATCTTGTATTTTCAAAACAGCTTTTCGCAGAAGCTCCAAATCGGAGTTTGGAGCTTCTGCTTTTATGTTATACAAAAGCGTTTTTCGACTTTTCAAAAGCCAAGCTTTTATAGGTGTTTGGCCTTGCTTCAGCTTTTGAAGTCGAAAAACATTTCTAAAAGCCGGGCCAAACATAGGCATTATGTCACAATGTATGGCATTATGTCACAATGCTTCAGCTTTTGAATTATTCGAGTGTTAATTTATGGTTTATTTGTAAAATATGTATTGAATTTTTAAAATATTAATTGAATAGATCTAATTCAAATTCTGATACGTAGCTAGTAAAAATTGAAATTGAGAAAAGATCGTACCAACTCTATCCCTCATATGTCTTCCAACCTCCATATCCTTCTAGAACAATATAATTGATAACTTCATAATAAGAATTAGAGGAAAATAACATATCCCGCGAGTGAGTCTCAATCATGGGCGGCATAACATATATGTGTATGTATTGTATAGTCTCATAAATAGATATTTATTGTTTTGTTCGCCCTTGTAATCTTCAGAAAATGATCTGTGTGGATGCATGTGATCTCCTTACACGTTACACCATAAATAAAAATATAAACTCACTCTTAGACACAATATAAGAAACTGTTACGCATATGTATATATATATATATAGATAATACCTTATTTTGGAGTCACAAATTTTGAAAGAAGACAGTTATTTGTCAGAATTTTGAAAGAAATGAACAAATTTGATACGAAATGTAGCCTGACCGTTAATATCGACGGTCAAACATTTCTTTCATCTATAACTCAGCATAAAATAATGAGGTGGTTGTGACATGACTTCCACGTCGTAGAGATATTATCCCCTTTTGGTATGAAATTTGGAGTAAAAGAAGATTTTTGCAAGAACTTTCAAATAAAACAGTTTTGTTCGAATTTTGAAGAATTTGACAAATTTTACCCGGAATTTACGTTGACCGTCGATATGGACAGAGATGGGTACAAAGAGAGATTTGAGTAAAATTCCTCATAAAGTACCCTCATCCAAACAACCTGTAGATAATTTCTAGTTTTCAAAGAAATTGAAATATTTTTAGAAAAATTAGTTATTATAAGAAAAATAATGTCACATTAGATTCATTAAAACTCAGAAGAATATAAAAATTAATAATACATTTAATATTGTCCTAACCATTCTCCTTTCGTAACTACAAAATGAATATCTACCAATATTAAAGGAAAAATTAGTTATCATAAGAAAAATAATTTCACATTAGATTCATTAAAAATCAGAAGAATATAAAAATGAATAATACATTTAATATTGTCCGAACCATTCTCCTTTCGTAACTACAAAATGAATATCTACCAATATTATTACTTAGAAAAAATTATTCATTATGTATAAGAAATTATCCTTAAAATGGAAGAATTCAATTGATCAAATTTTAAATTAAATAATTAACAAACCAAACTAGAAAAGCTTGATTTAAACTGAAATTGATTTGTTTAGTCAAATTATACTTAAAATTGAAGAAATAATTATCTAATTTGAAAAAAAATGTTTGATTTATACTGAAACTAATCACTTAAATGATTAAATTGATTTGTTTAGTCAAAATATCTTTAAAATTGAAGAACTTTATTATCTAATATTTTAATTTGTATTAAATTGATTGAGTTAAACTGAAATTAATGGCTAAACTAATGATCTAATCATCTTGGGTATCAAAAGTCAAAACAAAGACCTACCGGTGCAATTACATGAACTTTCCGCGCGCGGGACATTTCGTGTCATTAATTTACAACTTACAAGCTTCTATTTTTCATATAAAATTTTTAATTTATACATATTAACCCGAACCATTTATACGCGACTTCGAGATTCTCCGGTGCTTGTAGCTCCGCCCCTGGATGCTAATACCCTATATATATTTTTTTTAATTAGGGCAGTCGTATAACACTCACGAATCACGATTCGGCTATATTTGGAAAAATACAAATAGGTAAACCAAACTCTGGTAATAGCTACTTCAGTTGGCCCAATGAAATGAGATTGTACGTTCATCATCGAACTCATCAACTCGGTTATGGCTAGCTAGCTAGCGTCTCCATTAAAAAAAAAACAATGGAGGTTTCTATACCCAAAAAAACAATGGAGGGGATGATGAAATTGACCACTTTTTGTTTGGCTCATTTGGCGATGCGGCTGCCTGCCCCGATATGCTCTTTCTTCGTAACCCCAACCAATTCCAAGCTTACAAAATGAAACTTGCTTGTCACTGCAGTCTACCTCCAAACCTTAATATCATCGCTAGATGGGGTAGCTAGCTAGCCGGTTTCTTCCATGCAATAACAAGCATATATATAATATATTATATTAATCGATCGTAAGAAAATTATATTATGATATATTCTTTATCCAACTTGTTTAGAAAAAAAATTGTCTTTGAGAGATGGATTGATCATTATGATATATTCTTTGTTGGGATCTTTAGTCAAGAGTTCTCGTATTCGAGTTCTTGTCATAATATAATGACAAGAACTTGTATTTGGTTAGTTTGAGTATACCGTATGTCGGGTGGTGCGCAAAACTTTAAGCCGCGATGATGAGCTCACCTTTCTTTGAGAGTGTGCATATATGTATTATTTATAAAACTTTCCTATTAACTCGAATTATTAGAACACATCAATTGTTGGCAGAGTATACGAGGAAGGTTATTGTGATTCTTTGTTTTTTTTTCCCTAATAAACGTGAGCATATACATACTGATTTTTCAAAGGCATAAAAGCAGTATTTATTGGTATGGGTACTGTACAACTGTAGATGCTTTTTGATCTAATCGTGAGCCCATATTGGTCCTTCGGAGGAAGGAAAAGAAGAAGTATATATTGGTAAGGTTGGCAATTACCCATCTATGGGAAATTTTACCTAATATAAGTAAACTCGTTGATTATGGGTAGGGTATGAGTGAAATTTATATGGGTTTGGAGGGTTGTAGATGAGTTTGAGTACGATTTGAATATTGCTTTCATAATCTAAATGGGGCATGTGTTGTGTATGGATACCCATTTAGTTGAGAGCGTTTTAACTACACATAGAAAATTGAGACCTATTTGTAAAACTTAAAAGTTTAGATATCAAATGTAATATCCAAAAACTTAGGTACCAAAATATAATTTTCCATTGATATTTTGAGGACTTAATATGAAAAAAAAATTAAATTTAGCCACTAAATCTAAAAATTTAGTAAGTTTATATACCAAACTGTAATTTTCATATGGGCATGGGTGCAAAGTGCAAACCCAAACCCATGAATTAAAAATTCAATCCAACCCAACCCAAGTAAATGGATATGAATTCAAACCCATCAAATTATATCCATGGATACCATCTATTTATATTTTATACCCAACTCAATTGGGTTGGATAACAAAATACCCTTAACTTAACTATGGATAAATTTGCCATGCCAATTAATGGTATACTATAGATTATCTATCAACTTGAAACCCAATACTGGAAAAAGGCAATACCAAATGAGCCCTTAATACAGAATCTTAATTAATTAACAGTACTGCTATCAACTTGAGAAGTTTGTTTTCTTGTATATGTTCCCCAGCCACAAGACACAACCACAACCTTTCTCCTTTGATTCAGCCAGTACAGCATGCAGCTTAATGAAATGCCCTTCATTAATCTCTAACTTCAAGTGCAATATCATTTTGTAATTAAAAATAAAAATTAATATCACTCGCTATTTCATTTCAAATTATTAATAACTTACTTAACACTTAATGACAAGAAAAACAACGTATAAGTTCATAAAATTAGTAACTCATAAAGTTCTTCAGCTATTGAAATAACTGATGCTGAATTTCTCCATTGTAGATGATGTTGAATTTCTCCTTTAATATTGACTAATTAGCTCACTCTAGTTATACCTAGGTGACACCTAGATGTCTCCTTACTACACAACATGTTCTTGATATCTAACTCGCCGCGGAACCACTATACGAGGTATTTTGGGGTTACCTAGTGTATTGGCGTGATTAGGCATAAGGTTAAAGGCGCTTTCTTAAACCATAAGTAGTAATACACATCACTTCATTTTCACTTTTAAGTTCAAAATTAAACTGCAGATTGAATCTATAGTTTACCATCTTCTTTTAAACTTCTAAATTATAGTCACTATAGTTTAGGCCATTCACATGAGACCTGAACCCCAAGGTTACGGCCGGCCACACGATAAGTCTAATGTATATTTAATTTCAGTATGCAATTAAAATGAAATAACCTAATTATATTATCATCAATTATTCAATTAATCATCAAAACATGCACATGAGTGGAAGTTGAGAAGCGGTTTGGAGGTTTTGAATTAATGTTTGTAGGTCAATGGTCTGTACTTGCAAATTACAATAAAGAGAGGATAAGCCTGAAAAATGATGAACAACTTAGAAAAATGAAACTACTGTTTGGAATCCCATCAAGTTACCACATGCATGCATCTTCCTGTACATTAAAAACCTAAAACTGCATGCCTTTCTGGAGTTTAAATATAGACAAGGCAATTTAGAGAGAGTTGACTCGTCTTTAATTTTCACTTACTTAAAAGCAGTGAAGATAAGAATTATTATCGATTAAGGATGGTTTTACAGAGCAGAGAGGCCAGGGCCGATTAATTTAATCTGATTGGTTTTATTTTGAAGGAGCAATATATTGACTTTGCTCTGATGTAGGTATAGTACACGTAGGTACGTGTATGAATAATTACAAATCCAGCGAGAAAATTATATCCGGTCTTCGAATTAACCAGATTCTAGAATATGATATCATATTCTAAATCTCTAATCCTTATTAAGTGAATCATTGGTCTTCAATTCTCTAAACGACATACCATAAACTCTCTAAAATGATGCATGTAGTATGTTGGATATATTTCGTTGAATCAGAACTGTCAATTATTATTTCTAATTAAAGTAATCTTTAGTCTATATAATTTAAAGAACTAAGGATTATGGTTTGCTTGTTAGGACGTACAGTATATATAGTACCACCCTTCAAAGTACACTAATTTTGTATGTAACAATGTTTTCTTATTAAGAGTACGCAATATTCTTAAATTTATTGCCTTTAAAATTGAATTACTTATATATATTTGTACGTCATACTCAATACACATTAAACCTAAAACTGGATGACTCTCTGGGAGTCTGGGTAGGCAATTTAGAGAGTTGACTTTTCTGTTTTCACTTACGTAAAAAAGCATATATGAAGATAATATTTCTCTTTCGATTCAACCGTTGAAATCGAGAAAAGCCTCCAATAAATGAATACCTAAAATTAACTGAACAATATTCAATCCGGCTAATCCTTATGCTAAACCGACAAAAAAGATTGTAAATGACGTTAACTTGAACCCACTTGAACCCTAAAACTGCTAGACGTCCATTTAATTACTATATATATAAGTTCAGCCAACCAGCCAGAACAGCATGCATTCCACAGTTCCAGTAGCCACTAGCCACCCCACACTTTTTTTTATATCTTCATATGCGCCACTTCATTTATATGAGCAAAATTATTTTAATTATGAAAAGTGAAAACAATCGATATGAGAACATCCTTCGATCTCGCGTCTAACTACAATCGATAGAGTACTCTCTATTTGTACTGTGCTCTTCAAGTGTACGCACTCACTAGTATTACAACGATATAATATCCTGATGAACATATATATTTACACATTCTTATGAACGACATTAATATTCTATTATACCGAATATCATTTGGCTAACTTTTCTCATGCAATTTTTGGAAAACCTGAACGTATAGTCAGTGGTAAAAATAGAACACAAAGGGCTCTACGAATGACAAACTTCAACATCTTCCCACAATTGAATTTGAATCTAAATGTTGAAGGAGGGATGAGAACTAGTAGCCCCATCTTCATGTTTTAATATTCTCTCTCAAACACAAATACATACATTATAACATTAGATAATAATGAAAAATGTGGGGACCCCTTCTTGTTAAATATACTACTGCATTTAGCCTAGCTAGCTCTGTCACTTTCACTCTCGACATAAATATAATTAATATTTAGATTGGACATTTCCTAAAGCCAATAACTCAACTCACCAATTGGGCAACACTACTCCAGCCTATAAATACCAATCACATCGAACCGTTACAAAAGCACACCTCCATACCAAAACTATAGTAACGACTCATCCACATTACATATAACAAACATGCAAGCCGCCGCCGCCGGCAACAGGCCTCACGCCGCCCTACTAGCGAGCCCCGGCATGGGCCACCTCATCCCCGTCCTCGAGCTCGGCAAGCGCCTCGTCACCCACCACGACATCGCCGTCACCATCTTCGTCGTCGCCACCGACGCCGCCACCACCAAGTCCCTCCTCAAATCCTGCCCCACGACCAACTTCTCCATCGTCCCGCTCCCGGCCGTCGACGTCTCCCACCACGTCGACCCTTCCGACCACATCGTCACCAAGCTCCTCGTCATGATGCGCCACTCCATCCCCAACCTCCGCTCCGCCATCTCCGCGATGGCGGACCCACCCACCGCCCTCATCGTCGACATCTTCGGCACGTCCACGTTCCCCGTCGCCGACGAGCTCGGCATGCTCAAGTACGCGTTCGACACCACCACCGCCTGGTTCCTCGCCACCACCGTCTACGGCTCCTCCTCCGAGGACGAGGTGGCAAGGCATGTCAACTCGAGGACCCCGCTCGTGGTCCCGGGTTGCAAACCGGTCCGGTTTGAGGACACGCTCGATGCCTACAAGGCGATGGGGGACCGGGTTTTCGACGAGTTCCAGCGCGTCGGGGTCGAGCTCGTGACGGCCGACGGGATCCTGGTCAACACGTGGGAAGAGATGGAGGGGAAAACCCTGGAGGCTCTCAGGAACCGGAAGGCCCTGAAAGACGTCGTCAGGGCCCCGGTCTACCCGATCGGACCACTGGTCCGACCATCGCCACCTCTGGAGACCAACGAGCCAAACGACGTCGTGGAGTGGCTGGACGGGCAGCCCGACCGGTCGGTCATCTATGTGTCGTTCGGGAGCGGCGGGACCCTCCCGCGGGCCCAGCTGGCCGAACTGGCCTGGGGGCTCGAGCTGAGCGGGCAGCGGTTTGTGTGGGTGGTCCGCCCTCCTCCAGTAGAGGACGGAGACGTTTCAGCCGCTTTCTTTTCTCTGGAAGAAGAAAGCGGTTCTGAAGGACCTCACCGGTACCTTCCGGAGGGATTTTTGTCCCGGACCCACGACAGGGGGCTGGTGGTCCCCATGTGGGCCTCGCAAGCGGAGATCCTGGCCCACCCCGCGGTGGGCGGGTTCCTGTCGCACTGCGGGTGGAACTCGACGCTGGAGAGCCTGACGAACGGGGTGCCGATGGTGGTGTGGCCGCTGTACGCGGAGCAGAAGCTGAACGCCGCCCTGCTGGCGGAGGAGCTCCAGGTGGCGGTGCGGCCGGGGTATAACAACGGCGGCGTGGTGAAGAGGGAGGAAATTGAGGAGATGGTGAGGAGAGTGATGGTGGCGGAGGAGGAAGAAGGGAAGGCGATGAGGGAGAGGGTGATGGAGCTGAAGGAAAGCGGGGAGAGGGCGTTGAGCCGGAAGTTGAAGGGTTCGTCGTACAGCGCGCTGGCGCAGGTGGCGAGGGAGCTGGAGTTGAACCACCAGCGGGTGGTGGCTAAAGCTCGTGGCTAGCTCCGGGGCCCAGGGAATTAGCGACCCACGTATGACGTGCAAGAATGTGGGAGGCGGCCTTGTATTTTGTTGAAGTGATGGGGAAAAATAATGTGTGTTTCAAATGGTCTACAATGGATCGATGTTTATTATGTGAGAATTTGTAGTATAAAATATAAGTAGATCTGTATTACGTGGGGAGGATGATTCTCTCTTGCTTATTTTCGTTTTGTTTATAAGGAAGTGTCATAGTATATGGTGATTACTATGTGTTTTTTTATGCTACTCTCGTTCTCCATTCCTCTTCGGTGAACCCAAGAAAGGAAAGCTGCATGAGCAAAGAGTTTTTCTAAACATTCCATATCAACATTTCCAAATATGCAAACTCATATCCGTCCCATACTCTTCCCGGGGAGGGGAGAGGGATTTGCAACTCATTGCTGGCGGTTTCGGGTACCCATGGGTAAATATACCCGTCTCGTACATCTAATGTTAGGTACTATACCTATAATTCAACATGTAGACCATAAGTTATAACACTAAACGAATATAATAAGTCATGAAATCAACAAAACTACGACCATTCTTAATATGAGTCCAATGCATCCAATTCCAAAACATCCATTAATCGATAAAAAAGTACAATACTATCAGAATAATCTCCGACTTTGACACATCTACCGAGCAATGGAAAACTAACACAATGGAAAAAAAATTGAAAGAGTGACAATGTGAATGGAGGAAAGAAGTTAGTGTTTGGTTTGAGAGGCCACTCAATTACATTCCAACTGTTTATTTTTTTTAATTATTCTTCCTGTAATTGAGAGATTTAAATATGATTCTAATGTTTTTATATATGAAGAAATACTCACAGTGAGGTATGAGTATGGCTAAGAGTATGAGATGAAAACTTAAAACCATACCCTGCAGGAATTTCCCACATACCCACAATAATTAATGAATTTGATTATCATCCCTACCTATCAATATGTAGTAAACTATTGCACTATACAATTATTAAGTAGCTCTAGAACTTATACAGCTTTTTACAGCTGTACGTACAAATTAACTAGTCTTATGCATATTAAACTAACCTAATCTCCATCATGATCAAGAGACATTATTATCGATCTTAATTGCCTTTCAAGCTAGCGTCGCTATTGTCTCGTACTTTCTTAATTCGTTTAAAGAAGGAAGGAAGAAGAAGAAGTTGGTGCCCCGTTGTCTAATCCAACACGTCGGTGGCAATTAGTCGCTATAATATCTATGGACGTAGACTGGAGGGCAAAGAATCTACTGTCCTGCCAATATTGTGGCTACTGGCTTGCAATATCAGTTAACAGGAATGTCGTTTGTCGATCCGGACCAACATCTCATTAATCTAGACTAAGAATGGTGGACAATATCAATTCGTAAAACCGGATTAAACCATCAAGCCGGTTTAACAAGTGGTTTGATGAGCTTTAATGGTCGAAGTGGGTTCAATATAATTAGTTTAAGTCGGTTTTAACATAATATGTGAGAGAACCTCTAATACCAAACAGATTACGCATATATTTGACATACATATTTTAAAACAATCTCACTAATTTGCATTCATATATTATCAAATTATTTCCTGATCAAAGCAAAATATATATTATATACAAACTTATTCTACAAAATTAAACCACAGTCGCATGCAGGCGAACATTTGTAGCAAATCCAATACACACATACGATTGATGAGGCAGAAAGCATATTGTGGAACAATTTCAACCGTTGGCTTGAGGTTTCTAGAACCTTAACTGCCATATGTCAGTGATGAGGTAGTCGCTCATTTGATTGAGAAATATATATATAAAATTTATTGATTTTTAAAGCTTAATTAGCTATAAAACGCTTATTCTATCTCTCATTAAGAAATTCATATAAAAAATATCTCTCATTAAGAAATGGAAAACGATGGTGATTGATAGATTACTCATGGAGAAAGTGCATCTAGGAGAATGTGATATGAAATTTTGAATATTATTTTTAAAATTTTCTGATTGTATAACCATATGCTTACGTTTGATTACAAGTACCGAGCTAGGGGGACTAAGGTTTATATAGTGTACATGAAAATGAGAAGTAACCGAGTCTGAATTGAGTTAAGTTTTAATCAAATTCATGTTTAGTTCTTTAAAAAAATGTGTTGAGTTTGAGCCGGCTTATTTAGTAACATATTAGTTCAATTTCGCTCCAACCTGAGATCGGCTCATTAAGGAGTTCACAAATTTGATTTCCAATTTGGTTTGAGTTGATCACCTCATTCATGATTCTATATGATTGAACCTCTAACATAAACCCTATAATAAATTTATAAACTAGATGTGCTAATATTTGTATAGCATATATGATACTTTTGATTAATATGATGATGAAAAAATAATGATAGTAATATTTTTTTCCATAACTAATTGATCTCACACTTTTTATACTGTCAATATCATATTTGGTTTATAGATTCTAACTAGTTAATATCATGTTATCAAACAGTTGTAGTATCTAAGTAATCTATAATAATAATTCCCCTTAGTCATGTACTCAAAGTTATAAATGTGAAAATTATAATCTAACAAAGATATGAACTATCAATTAAGTCAAATCATAAGTTGTAGATCAATTCACTAGACATTTGCGTATTTTGGGGAAAAAAAACTTTATGAGAGGAGCTCTCTCCTCTGCCTGTGCTTGCTGCTAGGGCGGTGGATCTATAGGATCGCCGTCGACGTTTTCGAATCGAGTCAGCGAAACCAATTTTACGAGGACAGACCCTCATCAGCGACTCCTGCTTGTGACCAAAATAAGGAAAAGGGAAATCTCTCTATCAAAAATGGGATTGGCCTCTGCCTCCCTGCTATCGTGGTCCCAGAGCCGGCAAAAACTTCTCGGAGGGCGGTATGGTGCAGGGCAATTTAGAGAGAGTTGACTCGTCTTTAATTTTCACTAACTTAAAAGCAGTGAAGATAAGAATTATTATCGATTAAGGTTTTACAGAGCAGAGAGGCCAGGGTCGATTAATTTAATCTGATTGGTTTTAATTTGAAGGAGCGATATATTGACTTTGCTCTAGATGTAGCTATAGTACACGTAGGTACGTGTATGAATAATTACAAATCCAACGAGAAAATGATATCCGGAGTTTGAATTAATCAAATTATAGGTATGATATCATATTCTAAATCTCTAATCCTTAATAAGTGAATCATTGGTCTTCAATTCTCTAAACGACATACCATAAACTCTCTAAAATGATGCATGTAGTATGTTGGATATATTTTGTTGAATCAGAACTGTCAATTATTATTTCTAATTAAAGTAATCTTTAGTCTATATAATTTAAAGAACTAAGGATTATGGTTTGCTTGTTAGGACGTACAGTATATATAGTACCACCCTTCAAAGTACACTAATTTTGTATGTAACAATGTTTTCTTATTAAGAGTACGCAATATTCTTAAATTTATTGCCTTTAAAATTGAATTACTTATATATATTTGTACGTCATACTCAATACACATTAAACCTAAAACTGGATGACTCTCTGGGAGTCTGGGTAGGCAATTTAGAGAGTTGACTTTTCTGTTTTCACTTACGTAAAAAAGCATATATGAAGATAATATTTCTCTTTCGATTCAACCGTTGAAATCGAGAAAAGCCTCCAATAAATGAATACCAAAAATTAACTGAACAATATTCAATCCGGCTAATCCTTATGCTAAACCGACAAAAAAGATTGTAAATGACGTTAACTTGAACCCTAAAACTGCTAGCCGTCCATTTAATTACTATATATTTAAGTTCAGCCAACCAGCCAGAACAGCATGCATTCCACAGTTCCAGTAGCCACTAGCCACCCCACACTTTTTTTATTTTATATCTTCATATGCGCCACTTCATTTATACGAGCAAAATTATTTTAATTATGAAAAGTGAAAACAATCGATATGAGAACATCCTTCAGTCTCACGTCTAACTACAATTGATAGAGTACTCTCTATTTGTACTGTGCTCTCCAAGTGTACATGTTCCCATCCTCATCGCTCTCACTAGTATTACAACGATATGATATCCTGATGTATCATGTATGTATATATATTACACATTTTTATTTATTTAACTTCAGTATTCACAAATACGGTATCTTATGAACAACATGAATTTATTAGCACTAAATACCATTTGACTAACTTTTCTCATACGATTTTCGAAAAACCTGAACGTTTAGTCAGTGGCGAAAATAGAACACAAAGGGGCTCTACAAGTGACAAACTTCAACATCTTCCCACAATTGAATTTGAATCTTAATGTTGAAGGAGGGAGGAGAACTACTAGCCCCATCTTCACTTTTTAATATTTTCTCAAATATAAATACATACATTATAACAATAGATAATAAAAATAATTTGGGGATCCCTCTTGTTAACTATATTACTGCATTTAGCCTAGCTAGCTCTCTGACTTTCACTCTCGACATAAATATAATTAATGTTATGGGAAAAAAACGTTTCACAAAAGTATGTTTCTTGCCACACAAGACATATATAGAAATCGACACATGCATAAACAACGCCCGAGCCAATAGAATTCACTATTTCTCCTTAAGGAATTTAGTTCCCCTCTACGGTACCCAAGGTTATTGGAACTATTCCTCCCAGAATAGAACGGACGTACCTTTTCTGGCGTACCGGTACTTGAAACCCCAGAATCCGACGAACGCAACGATCGGAGAGAAGTCACACGACTCTGTTTTCTTTATGAGTTTATAGAGAGGAAATGCAATGAAGAATGGAAAATTCTTTTATCTTTTGGCCAGAAAAATTTCTTGGGAAAACTAACTTGTGTAGAAAACAGAGGGAGGTAGGTGTTTATTTATAGACAATGAAGGGGTGCGAGTGAAGGGATGTGACCCTTCAAGTGGGTGGTTACACCCCAACCATTGCAATGGTTCAGTGAAGGGATGTGACCCTTCAAGTGGGTGGTTACACCCCAACCATTGCATCGTTTAGCCATAGTAGTTGGACCGGTTGGTTCATTCCAACCGTCACATCGGTTCGGTCCGATTTGGTTCAACTTGGTTTAACCAATAACTCACCAACTATTGGCTTCTTCCCCTTTCCATTCTCATTCACACCTTTCAAATCCCAACAATCCCCCATATGAAAGAGAATGCTAAGTTTTGAAAACTATGCCAAAAAACTGTGTGACTCTCAACTAAGAATTAGTTGTATTAGGATAGGTCGGTTTCCCTTTGAACCTTCCCTAGTGAACATATATCGAGTATACTCACCAATCGGTAGATATGATATCTTTGAACCGTCAATTTTCTTGTATACTAAGACAACATATGTCACACAACCAACTCTTATCCGCTCGTTGGTTCTCATTGTTGTGTTCGTTTCAGCCATGAACACCGCCTGGTTTCATTAGTGCGTAGAGAATTGGCCTTCTTTTATTCTCCTTGAAGCGGCTCCACTTCACACTCACATAGGTGATTTCTAAACATGTATTCCGAAAATACACTATTTGATCACAACACGTGTCAAACTTAGAAACCATTAAAAACCTTTCATATTTAGGTTTACCCTTATATTTTGGACATTGTCTCATCATGAGAATGGACTTTAAATAATTTGACAATGTCGGACCATCATTCACAACTTTGTTTGCTCCTTGAACCTAGAGGTTGGGTCTGCCAATCCTACTTAGGTAGAGTTACCGCCATGATGATTTGTCCTAGGCCACAGTCCCATTCCCCTCGATGACTTCTCAACTAATGCTCTAGTTAGGCCTTTAGTTAACGGATCCAACACGTTATCTTTTGATCTTACATAATCAATCGAGATAACTCCACTAGAGATTAATTGCCTCACTGTGTTATGTCGTCGACGTATGTGACGAGACTTTCCATTACACATAACACTTTTTGCCCTTCCAATAGCCGCTTGACTATCACAATGTATGCTTATTGGGGTTAATGGCTTGGGCCAAAACAGAACATCTTCCAAGAAGCTCCGAAGCCATTCCGCTTCTTCACCGGCTAAGTCCAAAGCTATGAACTCCGATTCCATTGTGGATCGGGCAATACAAGTCTGCTTGGAGGATCTCCAAGATACTGCTCCCCCACCAACCGTAAATACATATCCGCTAGTGGATTTGATTTCGGTTGAGCCGGTGATCCAATTTGCATCACAATATCCTTCAAGTACTGCCGGATATTTTTTGTAGTGCAAAGCGAAATCTTTGGTATGTTGTAAATACCCCAAAACACGCCGCATTGCCATCCAATGCGTGCTATTTGGATTACGTTGATATCGACTCAATTTAATTATTGCGCAAGCAATATCTGGTCGAGTACTATTCATGATGTACATTAGACATCCCAAAACTCGTGCGTAATCCTCTTGAGATTCACTTTTACCTCCGTTCTTTGTAAGAACAAGGTTTGGATCAATCGGCGTGTGCACTTCTTTGATATGCAAATACTTGAATTTATCAAGAATTTTCTCTATGTAGTGAGACTGCGATAATGCTAGACCTTGAGGCGTTCTAGATATCTTTATTCCAAGAATAACATCCGCCTCACCCAAGTCTTTCATGTCGAAAGATCTTGATAGCATTCTCTTTGTCTCTTCTATGTCAATAACGTTCTTACTCATTATCAACATATCATCTACGTATAGACAAACAATGACTTCGTGATTAGGTGTGTTCTTGATATATACACACTTACCACATTCGTTAATCCGAAAACCGTTTGACAACATAACTGCGTCAAATTTAGCATGCCATTGTTTGGGTGCTTGTTTAAGTCCATATAGGGACTTCACCAATCTACACACCTTATGTTCTTGTCCAGGGACAACGAACCCCTCTGGTTGTTTCATGTAGATTTCTTCCTCCAGGTCGCCATTTAGAAAGGCCGTTTTTACATCCATTTGATGGATTTGTAGACCATACACGGAAGCCAAAGCAATTAGCATCCGAATAGATGTAATTCTTGTGACTGGGGCGTATGTATCAAAATAGTCAAGGCCTTCCTTTTGTCTAAATCCTTGGACCACAAGTCTTGCCTTGTACTTGTCAATAGTACCATCATCTTTCAACTTCCTTTTGAAGATCCATTTATATCCCAATGGTATGCAACCGGGAGGAAGATCCACCATATCCCATGTGTGGTTATTCAAAATGGACTCAATTTCACTATTGACAGCCTCCAACCAATATTGAGCTTCAGAAGACTTCATCGCTTCTTCAAATGTCTTTGGCTCATCTTCCAACAAAACCGTTAAGAAGTCGGGACCGAATGACGTAGGCACCCTTTGAGGTTTAATACGCCGTGGCTCATCAATATTGGAATCATTTTCCAATGAATCATCCCGAGGTAGCTTGGAGCTTTCTCCAACGACTACATCCTTATTCCTATACGGAAATATGTTCTCAAAGAACTCTGCACTATCAGATTCTATAACCGTATTAGGATGGATGTCAGAGATTTGTGATTTATAGACCAAAAATCTATATGCTTTGCTATTATTGGCATAACCAATAAAGATGCAATCTATCGTTTTAGGTCCCAATTTGACCTGTTTCGGTTTTGGAACTCGAACCTTTGCCAAACACCCCCACACTTTGAAGTAATTCAAGTTTGTTCTTTTACCTTTCCATTTTTCATACGGAATGGTTTGCGTCTTACTGTACGGTACTCTATTGAGTATTTGTGTAGCAGTAAGAATAGCTTCCCCCCACAAATTCTGAGGTAAACCCGAATTTAGGAGTAAAGCATTCATCATGTCCTTCAAAGTTCTGTTCTTCCTTTCCGCAACTCCATTTTGTTGTGGGGTATATGGAGCCGATGTTTGGTGAATAATTCATTTTCTAGACATATTTCTTCAAATGGAAATTCATATTCACCACCTCTATCACTTCTGACCATTTTTATTTTCTTGTTGAGTTGGTTCTCAACTTCTGCTTTGAATTGTTTGAATGCATCAATCGCTTCATCTTTGCTACTTAGCAAATATACATAGCAATATCTAGTGCTATCGTCGATAAATGTTATGAAGTACTTTTTCCCACCTCGAGATGGTGTCGACTTCATGTCACAAATGTCAGTGTGAATCAAGTCCAATGGTTCAGAAGTTCTTTCAATCGACTTGTAGGGATGTTTCACAAACTTTACATACTTGACATTTAGATTTATTGCATTCAAACTTGGGCAACACTTCCATGTTTATCATTTTCCGTAAGGATTTGTAATTCACATGTCCCAAACGGGCATGCCACAAATGATTTGACTCAAGTAAATACGCGGAAGAAGCGTTATTATTATTAATAACATCGTTCACGGTAATTACATTGAGCTTGAAAAGGTCATTATTAAGATAACCTTTTCCTATATACACATCATTCTTGCTAATTACAACCTTATCGGAAACAAACACAACCTTGAATCCGTGCTTGACAAGAAGCGAGGTAGACACCAAATTCTTGCGAATTTCCGGTACATGGAGGAGGTTGTTGAGGGTCACAACCTTGCCCGATGTCATCTTCAAGACCATATCCCTCGACCTTGGCCGTGGAGGAGTTTCCCATGAATAATTTCTCCTCCGCCTTAGCCAAAGAGTAGGAAGTGAACATCTCTTTGACTGCACAAACATGGCGGGTAGCGCCAGAGTCTATCCACCATTCTCTTGGATTCCCTACCAAGTTACATTCAGAAAGAACGGCACAAAGGTCATCCATATCCATATCATCAACAATATTAGCTTGACCTTTGTTCTTCTTCTTCTTCTTGTGGGTCTTGCACATCGAGGCTTTATGCCCTTGTTTTCCACACTTGAAACAAGTACCATTAATCTTCTTGTTACCATTGTGGTTCTTTGCACCGGAAGAACTTGGAATAGAGTCTCTCTTCCTCTTCTTTCCCTTGGAGTCACTCTCCACAATGTTTGCACCATAGATGGTTGATTGTCCACGGCTCTTCTTCTCGGCCAACCTATTGTCCTCTTCAATCTTTAGACGGACAATTAGGTCCTCAAGCGTCATCTCCTTACGCTTGTGCTTTAGGTAACTCTTGAAGTCCTTCCATGCGGGAGGCAACTTCTCTATGATTGTCCATGGCTCTTCTTCTCGGCCAACCTATTGTCCTCTTCAATCTTTAGACGGACAATTAGGTCCTCAAGCGTCATCTCCTTACGCTTGTGCTTTAGGTAACTCTTGAAGTCCTTCCATGCGGGAGGCAACTTCTCTATGAAGGAAGCAACTTGAAAAGCTTCGTTAATAATCATTCCTTCATTAAGAAGATCATGAGTAATTACCTGAAGCTCTTGGACTTGCGTCACAACGGCCTTGGAATCAACCATCTTATACTCCAAAAACTTAGCCGCAATGGATTTCTTCAATCCCGCATCTTCGGCCTTGTATTTCTTCTCTAGCGCCTCCCATAATTCCTTAGAGGTCCCTATGGTGCTATAGACATTGTACAAAATTTCATCTAGACCATTTACAATATAATTCTAGCAAAGGAAGTCAGAATGTTTCCAAGCTTCAATTGCAAGAAATCTATCTTTCTCTGGCACTTCCTCGTTAGGATTTGGGATCTCTTCTTTGATGAACTTTTGAAGTCACAAAGTAGTGAGATAGAAATACATCTTTTGTTGCCAACGCTTGAAATCTACACCGGAAAACTTGCCGGGTTTCTCCGCCGGTGCAAGCGAGTGAGTAGCAACTTGAAGTGGAGTACTTTGAGTTGATGTTACCGGATTTGGGTTCTCCCCATTTATTCCAGAACCAGAAGACATCTTTGTTCTTCACTATTTCCTTTCTCTAGAAATAGAAACCACAACACGTATTAGTAAATCACTAATACCCACGAGTAGAAAACCGAAGAGGTTTAAACTCGTCCGCAGTAGGAAATCACACTCTTTCCAAAGAAAGAATAATTATATATGACCATAATATATATCACAACAGAATTATATTTAATTAGTATTGAAACAGTAGCAATTAAATACGACTGCAACACAACCCTACAAAGAACAGGGACTAAAAGACAGACATATACATCGAATCACAGAGATTAACAATAACCAACACAGTTTTTCACACAATCATGTACGGTTCTTACAAATCTAATAAACCTTTTAAATATAAGATCAATACACGACACAGAGCAAGTTATACTGAAAATATATATATACACCTCAGAGAAACACGTATATAACCCTAAAGTAACAATTATATAGATATAACTATAACACCAGAAGCAGTTTATATATATTAACCAATGTAATTAAATTTTCAATAGAGTAACTGACCAAAATTTCTTCTTAATCACAAGCGAGATCAATTTTTCATGCATGGACACCAAGTTCAGATTCATATACGTCAACTTTGGGAAGAAACAGAACACGTGAATGAAAACAAAAATAAATTCCTTAAGATTGTTATGGAAAAAAAAAACGTTTCACAGAAGTATGTTTCTTGCCACACAAGACATATATAGAAATAGACACATGCATAAACAACGCCCGAGCCAATAGAATTCACTATTTCTCCTTAAAGAATTTAGTTCACCTCTACGGTACCCAAGGTTATTGGAACTATTCCTCCCAGGATAGAACAAACGTACCTTTTCTGGCGTACCGGTACTTGAAACCCCAAAATCCGACGAACGCAACGATCGGAGAGAAGTCACACGACTATGTTTTCTTTATGAGTTTGTAGAGAGGAAATGCAATGAAGAATGGAAAATTCTTTTACCTTTTGGCCAGAAAAATTTCTTGGGAAAACTAACTTGTGTAGAAAACAGAGGGGGGTAGGTGTTTATTTATAGACAATGAAGGGGTGCGAGTGAAGGGATGTGACCCTTCAAGTGGGTGGTTACACCCCAACCATTGCATCGGTTCGTCATAGTAGTTGGACCGATTGGTTCATTCCAACCACCACATCGATTCGGTCCGATTTGGTTCAACTTGGTTTAACCAATAACTCACCAACTATTGACTTCTTTCCATTCTCATTCACCCCATTCAAATCCCAACAATTAATATTTAGATTGTACATTTCCTTCCTTAAGCCAATAAAGGGCAAAAAGGGAGAAAATGTGGAAATAACTCGACTGACCAATTGGGCAACACTACTCCCGCCTATAAATACCAATCACATCGAACCGTTACAAAAGCACACCTCCATACCAAAACTATAGTAACGACTCATCCACATTACATATAACAAACATGCAAGCCGCCGCCGCCGGCAACAGGCCTCACGCCGCCCTACTAGCGAGCCCCGGCATGGGCCACCTCATCCCCGTCCTCGAGCTCGGCAAGCGCCTCGTCACCCACCACGACATCGCCGTCACCATCTTCGTCGTCGCCACCGACGCCGCCACCACCAAGTCCCTCCTCAAATCCTGCCCCACGACCAACTTCTCCATCGTCCCGCTCCCGGCCGTCGACGTCTCCCACCACGTCGACCCTTCCGACCACATCGTCACCAAGCTCCTCGTCATGATGCGCCACTCCATCCCCAACCTCCGCTCCGCCATCTCCGCGTTGGCGGACCCGCCCACCGCCCTCATCGTCGACATCTTCGGCACGTCGACGTTCCCCGTCGCCGACGAGCTCGGCATGCTCAAGTACGCGTTCGACACCACCACCGCCTGGTTCCTCGCCACCACCGTCTACGGCTCCTCCGCCGAGGACGAGGTGGCAAGGCACGTCAACTCGAGGACCCCGCTCGTGGTCCCGGGTTGCAAACCGGTCCGGTTCGAGGACACGCTCGACGCCTACCAGGCGATGGGGGACCGGGTTTTCGACGAGTTCCAGCGCGTCGGGGTCGAGCTCGCGACGGCCGACGGGATCCTGGTCAACACGTGGGAAGAGATGGAGGGGGAAACCCTGGAGGCTCTCAGGAACCGGAAGGCCCTGAAAGACGTGGTTAGGGCCCCGGTCTACCCGGTCGGACCGTTGGTCCGACCATCGCCACCTCTGGAGACCAACGAGCCGAACGACGTCGTGGAGTGGCTGGACGGGCAGCCCGACCGGTCGGTCATCTACGTGTCGTTCGGGAGCGGCGGGACCCTCCCGCGTGCCCAGCTGGCCGAACTGGCCTGGGGGCTCGAGCTGAGCGGGCAGCGGTTTGTGTGGGTGGTCCGCCCTCCTCCAGTAGAGGACGGAGACGTTTCAGCCGCTTTCTTTTCTCTGGAAGAAGAAAGCGGTTCTGAAGGACCCCAACGGTACCTTCCGGAGGGATTTTTGTCCCGGACCCACGACAGGGGGCTGGTGGTCCCCATGTGGGCCTCGCAAGCGGAGATCCTGGCCCACCCCGCGGTGGGCGGGTTCCTGTCGCACTGCGGGTGGAACTCGACGCTGGAGAGCCTGACGAACGGGGTGCCGATGGTGGTGTGGCCGCTGTACGCGGAGCAGAAGCTGAACGCCGCCCTGCTGGCGGAGGAGCTCCAGGTGGCGGTGCGGCCGGGGTATAACAACGGCGGCGTGGTGAAGAGGGAGGAAATTGAGGAGATGGTGAGGAGAGTGATGGTGGCGGAGGAGGAAGAAGGGAAGGCGATGAGGGAGAGGGTGATGGAGCTGAAGGAAAGCGGGGAGAGGGCGTTGAGCCGGAAGTTGAAGGGTTCGTCGTACAGCGCGCTGGCGCAGGTGGCGAGGGAGCTGGAGTTGAACCACCAGCGGGTGGTGGCTAAAGCTCGTGGCTAGCTCCGGGGCCCAGGGAATTAGCGACCCACGTATGACGTGCAAGAATGTGGGAGGCGGCCTTGTATTTTGTTGAAGTGATGGGGAAAAATAATGTGTGTTTCAAATGGTCTACAATGGATCGATGTTTATTATGTGAGAATTTGTAGTATAAAATATAAGTAGATCTGTATTACGTGGGGAGGATGATTCTCTCTTGCTTATTTTCGTTTTGTTTATAAGGAAGTGTCATAGTATATGGTGATTACTATGTGTTTTTTTATGCTACTCTCGTTCTCCATTCCTCTTCGGTGAACCCAAGAAAGGAAAGCTGCATGAGCAAAGAGTTTTTCTAAACATTCCATATCAACATTTCCAAATTAACAAACTCATATCCGCCCTATACTCTTTTCGGTAAGGAGAAAGGGGAGGGGATTTGCAACTCATTCTCTTACTCGCGGTTTCGGGTACCCATGGGTAATATACCCGTCTAGTACATCTAATGTTATTATACGTATAATTCAACATGTAGACCATAAGTTATAACATTAAGTCATGAAATCAACAAAACTACGATCATTCTTAATATGAGTTCAATGCACCCAATTCCAAAACATCCATTAATCCATAAAAAGTACAATACTGTCAGAATAATCTCCGACTTCGACACATCTCCTAAGCAATAAATAACTAAGATAATCTTGTTAACGCAAGAGGAAAAATGTGAAAGAGAAACAGGGTGAATGGAGGGAAGAAATTAGTATTTTGTTTGAGAGATACTCAATTACTATTTAACTCTTTATTTTTTGAATACCTCCCTGACATTGAGAGATTTACTATGATTCTAATATATTTATTGCGTATGGCTAAGAGTATGAGATGAAAACTTAAAACCATACCCTGTACATACCCATTCAATTCAGAAATTCTCCACGTACCCACAGTAATTAATGAATTTGATTATCATCCCTACTATAGTTAGTAAAATACAGTACGGAAAAGTTACGTATAAAATACGTACGGGTATTTTACTTCATATCTAAGTTAATGTTACGTTTAATAGTGCGTTAATAGTCATAAATATATATAATTTAATTATTTTAAAAATAAATAAATAAATATATATAGGGTGGTTCTATCGTACCTTTGGTAAAATCAAGGGTACGACATACATTAAGTAAGAAAATTATATATAGACCTCGAATTAAGCATAGTTTGGCATATGACATTATTCCCAAACCCTTAAGGATTAAAATCTAGGTCTTAGTTCTATAAATCTCATACACTAAGATCAATTTAATTAGAAACAAAAATCAACGGCTATGATTTGTCGAAATATATGCAACAAATTACAAGCACAATCTTAGGGATTGGGCTCTTTGATTTAGAAAACTAAGACCTAGGGTTCACTCATCAAAGGTTAGGGTATAGTAGCATGCCCAAAAATCCGGTTAATTCGAGGTCTAGATAGTATTTTCTTACTCAGGGTATGTCGTACCCTACATTTTATCCACCCATATATATAATAGTAAAATTAAAAATTTAATTTATTTAATATGGATATTAAACGTATTATACGGGTTTTGTAAGTGTTTAGTAGGAGAGCCATAAAATGAACAGAAAAATTTGAAATGGCTTGACAATAAATAAATACGGAAATTTTAAATGAATAAAATACATACGGATACATATACATGTATTAAATGGGTGTATTAAATGGAGTAGTTACTCACTGTCATCCCTACCTATCGGTATGTACTATGTAGTAAACTATTGCACTACACAATTATGAAGTAGCTCTAGAACTTATACAGCTTTTTACAGCTGTACAAATTATGAAATTAACTAGTCTTGTGCATATTAAACTAACCTAATCTCCATCATGATCAAGAGAGATTATTATCGATCTTTGCCTTTCAAGCTAGCGTCGCTATTGTCTCGTACTTTCTTAATTCGTTTAAAGAAGGAAGAAGAAGAAGTTGCTGCCCCGTTGTCTAATCCAAAACGTCGGTGGCAATTAGTCGCTATAATATCTATGTACGTAGTCCTCTTAATTATTCTCATAGGCTGGACCGCTGGAGGGCAAAGAAATCTCCTGTCCTGCCAATATTGTGGGTACTGGCTTGCAATATCAGTTAGCAGGAATGTTGTTTGTCCGGACCAACATATCATTAATGTAGACCAAGAATGGTGGACAATATCGTTTCGTCAAACCGGATTAAGCAATCAAGTCGGTTTAACAGGTGATTTGAGCTTTAATGGTCGAAGTGGGTTTAAGTCGATTTTAACATAATATGTTAGAGAACCTCTAATACCAAACCAATTATGCATATATATTTTAAAATTAAACAATCTCATTAATTTGCATTCATATATTATCAAATTATTTCCTCAAAGGAACATATATATTACAAAATTATAATTCCTCATCTTCAAACTCGGTTTTGACTGGTCAGACCACCTAATATTATCCGATTTAATATTGTTTTGATTTTCTTATACAACCGTTCGAACCAGAGCGTATTCCAATCGTTTAGATGACCGATTTGTTGTCGAACTTAGTTTAAACGGCCGGGTGATACAAATTTGACAACCTTTGGTGCAATTTTAGTTTTTTACGGCACAACATGTTTGCAGTGACAGACCCAAAACTAAAAAACTCAAAACAAGTGCAGAAGTTAAAATTTCAACGTGGCTCAACCAGGTTACGCATATATTTGACATACATATTTTAAAACAATCTCACTAATTTGCATTCATATATTATCAAATTATTTCCTGATCAAAGCAAAATATATATTATATACAAACTTATTCTACAAAATTAAACCACAGTCGCATGCAGGCGAACATTTGTAGCAAATCCAATACACACATACGATTGATGAGGCAGAAAGCATATTGTGGAACAATTTCAACCGTTGGCTTGAGGTTTCTAGAACCTTAACTGCCATATGTCAGTGATGAGGTAGTCGCTCATTTTATTGATTTTTAAAGCTTAATTATTAACTATAAAACGCTTATTGTATCTCTCGTTAAGAAATTCATATAAAAAATATCTCTCATTAAGAAATGGAAAATGCCCATTTACCATAACAAACAAAAATAAGATGGAAAACGATGGTGATTGATAGATTACTCATGGAGAAAGCGCATCTAGGAGAATGTGATATGAAATTTTGAATATTATTTTTAAAACTTTCTGATTGTATAACCATATGCTTACGTTTGATTACATGTACCGAGCTAGGGGGACTAAGAGGGGCTAAGGTTTATATAGTGTACATGAGAATGAGAAGTAAACGAGTCGAATTGAGTTAAGTTTTAATCAAATTCATGTTTAGTTCTTTAAAAAAATGTGTTGCTTTTGAGCCAGCTTATTTACTAACATATTAGTTCAATTTCGCTCGATTTCAACTTAAAATTGGCTCATTAAGGAGTTCACAAATTTGATTTCCAGTTTGGTTCGAGTTGATCACCTCATTCATGATTCTATATGATTGAACCTCTAACATAAACTCTATAATAAATTTATAAACTAGATGTGCTAATATTTGTATAGCATATATGATACTTTTGATTAATATGATGATGAAAAAATAATGATAGTAAAAAAAATTGGGTAAATACAATATATTAGCCATAACTATTAAGTAGCGGATAATTATAGCCACAACTATCGAAATACAAATTATTAGCCATAACTATAGTTGTGGGTCAAGATTTGGCTAACAGCCCATTACTGTTTTCAAATTTTTAACGTAGAAGGCCATGTCAGCATCGTAAAAAATATGATATGATGACTGCCATGTGGGAGCCAGCTCGGTATCGTAAAAGCTTAGTCATCATTACTAACAAAAGTGTTAACGAAAACTTAACGAATGGCTAATAATTTGTATTTCGATAGTTGTGGCTATAATTCCCCGTTGCTTAATAGTTATGGCTAATATATTGTATTTGCCCAAAAAAATTTCATAACTAATTGATCTCACACTTTTTATACTTTGTCAATATCATATTTGGTTTATAGATTCTAACTAGTTAATATCATGTTATCAAACATTTGTAGTATCTAAGTAATCTATAATAATAATTCCCCTTAGTCATGTACTCAAAGTTATAACGTGAAAAATATAATCTAACAAAGATATGAATTATCAACTAAGTCAAATCATAAGTTGTAGATCGATTCAATAATAAGCAGTTATTCGAGCTGAGTCGCTAGTCACTCTATAAAAGCTAATTCAGAAGTTAAATGTAAATAAGTCAAATATCAAATGAGATTTTTTTCGAATCAAATGTCGAACCACTCTTGGCCAACTTTGACTCATTTGCAGTAATATGTTTACACACCTTTTGAACTTGGAACTTCTTGACAACTCTTGAAAGTTTGTACTGAACTTCTTCGTTAAATACTTAAATTAAAGCCAACCCATTGTTATTAAAAAAAACTGCAGAGGAAAGACATATTTATTGCTAAAAGTCCCTAATTAAAGTTTAAATATTTTCTCAATTATCCCCTTTCTTTTCCTCGGCAAAAATCAAACATAATTTCCTCTCTAACTCTCTCTTTCCCTATTGGAATCGAATGGGTGGTGAATATATGAATTATTGTTTCATTATTTGGTTGCATTCGTCGACAATAATGTAAATCGGAACATAATTTTTCTAGAATTTAGAAACATTCTTAGTTTACTATAAAAACAAATTATACCGCAAAAATTATAATAAACATTTTGTACTAAAATAATGGTTTAACTTTTTCGTACCGTTAAGGTAAGATACAATCAGATGATAGGAAAAACAATTTCTCAAACACTAATAATACCTAATAAAATTTATGCATTATTAATGAAGATTTAAGTGTGCATTTTTTTTTGTTTTATTTTATCGTTGAATACGGGAACGGATCAGGTCAGTAACCTTATGGTTAGTAACCATGAGTAACTCATCTACATCAGCATGACATCAACATTCCTCTCTCTCCTGAAAATCCTTTAATATTCCCCTCAATCTTTGACGGACTATTTCTCACTCGTTTTAAGTCGATTTTTTTTTTTGCACAGTTAGATCAAATTAATTGTGCTCTTCAAAATGATATCCATTTTGATATATTTTTCGAATAAAAAAATGAGCCATTTTTTATCAGTCTATACCATATGGTATTGACTGATATTGAAATAAGAGCATACTTATGGTTTGAAAAGCGTACCATGGTGGTATGAACAAATCAAGACTGTAGGATGGTTGAATACATTATAGTAGAATTATATTAACGGTCATTTACGACTTTTAACATTATGTACCACAAGATACCACCCCGTACCAGGGTGGTATTGTATGGTATTGTGTGGTATTTTTTGGTCCTGTAATTTGTTCACCCATAAATTTGTAGATCCAATAGATCATGATAAACTCGTTCCTTTAGAGCAAACGTTTTCAAAAATAAATTAAAAACGAAGAAGATACCATATGGTATGCAGTTGGTACCGAGAGGCAAAAAAAATTTTCTCAAAAAATATTGAAAATGGATATCATTTTGTAGAGCACGACGAACTCGTTCCATCTGTGCAAAAAAAAATCAAAATCCAAGTTAAAACGAAGAAGATATGAGCCAATTAAGAAATCTAAAAAAAATAAAAATGATCTTTAATTCTCCATCCTTATACCTGAGTTTTCTAAATGATTTAGCCGTTGAATACTTTAAGTATTAAAGTAAACTCTTCGGTGATTGAGATTTCCAAGTGCCATATGGATAGTAGAAAGTGTAGAACTGCGTGAGACATGGGCATGTGACTTGCGAGGTTCTTAATTGCTACTGGATTATTAACAAATAAAGAAAATAACAGCGACCTTTTGTAATATTGTAACAATTGATCATACTACTTAATTAAGTATAGTCGTCTCGTATTTAGGCTTAACTGGTAATATAAAATGCTTTCTGATGTAACTCCTCCAGCATAATCATACTACTTGTGGATCATATATATAATATGATTTTGATGCGACAGAAAATTGATTAATACGTATTTAGGGATATGAAATGGCATGGTGGAGAGGATAAATTAACTCATTAGGAATAGAGATTATCATATGAAATTAACTTCACCAGCACATTCATACTTATGAAATCATATAATATGTGATTTCGATTTGAAAAACAATTAATTATTTATGTACTGATGTGGTATTTAAGTTGTTTTTATTGGTCGTCTGTCTGTTGTTGATTTTCTTTACTCGTAAAGTTTGAGGGAAAATAGATGTGAAAAATTATCAACCAAGAAGTAGAGGTGGCAAATGGATTGGATCCATGAATTGGTGAATTGGATTGGGGGATCCATGGATCATATAGATTGGATCAAATGGATTGATGGAGTCAAGGATTAGATCAAATGGATTGGAGATTGATCCATGAGTGCAAATGACATCGAAGTCTTGGACCAATATGTAAATTTTAAAAAATTTAGATACTAAAATATCATCATAAAAAAATTTAGGTACCACTTCTACCTAGAATTGATGTTAGGATTCCACAGTTGTATCTTCCCCATTGGCACTATGTTATCAACCAGAAGATCTACCATGTAGGTGTTGTTTGGACTGGCAAATTGAAGTGAGGGATTTTGCCACAATCCCTCACCGTCGTTGAATTTAAAAACAATCCCTCATTTTTTAGAAAAGGTTTGAAAACAAGTAATTTCTGGCACGAGAGATTTGGCCGGATTCGATTGCCCCCTTTATGTTTCTTCCAAACTTATCCCCTTGCGCTTTTGTGCAAGAACTTCTTCCCACCTCTCGCAATCTATTTCTGCCTCTCCCTCGGAACCCTCAAATATGAAATTGTCAATATGTTTCTTCCTCTCCCAATCTGGATTATGTTTGGGCAATAGATTTCGGTAGTTCTGATTCTGAAGGAGACTAAATCAAGCTGCAAAAGTCACCAGCTCACCTCACTTATGGCCATCATCATAACATCTCGTAAGCAAGTACCAATGCGGCCTTATTGAACAAGTGTTCATTAGGGAAGGCCGGGTACCGTTGACTCCCTATATAAAACTACTTACGCAGCGACGGATCTAGAGGGGCCGCCCTCGAGTCACGGTCCAGCCCTCTCCGGATCCAAAGCTCGTAAATTTTCGATTTTGAGCATATATTTCAATGTTTATAGGGTTACAACCCAACCCTCTACACCATTTTTTAAATGCAGCCCAGTGCTCTATCCTGTTCTGGATCCGCCACGCTCTACGTACGTACTAGGCAATCGGGCGGCCACCGCCCCTGCTCCCCTAAGCCACTGCATGCCAGTGATGTGCAATCGATAACGGCATGATGAATACATACATGTATTTTATCTTATCTAATGTCCAGCAATTTTGACTTGAACAGGAGATCGCTAGCTCTTTAAATTACACCGACTAATTTTTAGTGATAATATAGGGGCGACAAGCAACAACCAAATTATATTCTGAATGACGTATCGTCGAACATGATAAGGTCGACGGTAAGAAGGTAAAAGATGAACTCCTCCAATGAATTTTGCATAGCTAGACGTCGGCCATTGCAACAAGTGGCTAGCTTGCTTGGGGGATGACAACGTAGACGGAGATGAAGGTGAAGTCTCGGAAAAGGACAGGGGCGGCTAGCTACGTCCGTCGACATTGATTCATTATAAGTTAATAACATAATAAAAATTCACGTCTTAGATAAATCACATGCATGGAACGAAACCCAATCCCTTTGTTAATTCTTTCTGATGCATCCTCGATGTTAACAATGTCAACGGATTGGAGAATGAACCATATGAATGGGATGGGAGCGGCTTGAATTTGTTATCACAGTTCCACAAATGGTTTACTTCGATCAATATGATAAAGTACAAACTAAATGTTATAATTAAAGATTTTAGGTACAAAAATGTAATTTCCCAATGTATAAAAATTAAAATATAAGTATCGGATTATAAAATGTGAAAATTTTAGTTACTAAACTGTAATTTACTGTAATGGACATTTCGCATTTGGACCCTGCTGCTAGGCTGCGTCAAAGAGAGCAACAGGAAATGCCGCCAGCCTCAGGGCCACGCCGCTGGTCTGCTTTTCATGTACGACTCAAGTCAACGGAAAATTTAGGGTTTCGTTGTATTCACAGAGACTAGGAAGGCAGGAACGACGACCAGGCTAAGAGTATACCGATTACAATAACCATCTAGCAAATGTTTCATTGTTTGGGATGGTCATGGAGTCGCGGTTCCAATCCGTAACTCAAGCAACGGTCACAGGTTCGGTAGCTGTGCTCAGCCATGATCTCTCGTTTTCATTCAAATACGGTGCAAGAATCTCGCTGCATCTCGAGTGGTACGTGTTCAGCCATTCGATCTCTTCAGGGACAAGCAGGCTGACATCAATCAGCTTTCTCTGATATGGTGCCTGCAATGCAGAAATATGCAAGACATGATCAGCAAAAAACCAATTGGCGCAAATTCTCGAATGGAAATGAAGATGCAAACTTTGAGTCTTACCCATGTTATGTGCTCAAATTCCAAGTAGCCCTTGTCACCAAAATTGAATTTGGTGTCGGCTTCGTTGACTACAAGCACATTCTCCAATCTTATGCCGAAGTTGCCATCCTCGTAGTATCCAGGTTCTGTCTCATATACGAGAATACGGTGCGAAATTCAGAACTCTTATGTTCTGCTGAGATTTTATGAGAACCAAATAGGAAAAGTATGATGGTAGCGGGTGGCACTAAGACTAACCATCTGTTACTGTCATGGAAGCTTGGATTGGAACGTTGCGAGCTGATGGCCTAAAACTGATTAGATGAGGACCTGCATAATGAAGAATATCGGGGGAAAGTACAGGTTAATTTCTCTAAGAAAAAAATGAACTAAAGAAAGAGGCAATAACTGTCTGTTGTTAGTGGTTCTACCTTCATGAACAAATAGAAACGATCCGATTCCATGGCCAGTACCGTGCCTATAATCAAGACCGCTTTTCCACAAAGGAATTCGAGCAAGAATGTCAAGGGTGTGACCTTAATGTAAAAGAGAAACACACTCAGATCAACACAATCATCACATAGATACTACAAACATAATGTCATGAAAAGAAGGAAAAGGAGAGACAGAGAACTAAGTTCTGATACCATTGGTTCCATTAGGAAACCTCGCATTACCCAGAGCAATATGACCCTTAAGAACCTGGATGAAACATATAAGTCAAGAACAAAGAAGAGAGGAAAGGAAGTTCAAATAAATTAGACAGTTAATTATTGCAAGTCATCACCACATACAGCAGTGTAGCACGCTTTCTCATGTGTAGATGGGATGCCAAAATGTACTGTCCTCGTTATGTCAGTTGTGCCATCCAAATACTTCATTGATCCCGAAAAGTAAGATAAATGGAATGTTAGGTGCCATTCAGCAGTGTGATTATTAAATAAGAAATGGTGATGCTGTTAAACCGTGAAAAAGAAGAGAAAAATCATGCAAACCTGTGCTCCAGAATCAAACAGATAGATCCTATCTGGGTCGACTTCAGCACATGTCTCAGGCTGAGGCCCATAATGGATGATTGCTGCATTTGGACCAACTGAAGAGATCGTAGGGAAACTCAATCCTCTAAAATGCTGCCAGTACACCAGAAAACAAGAAAGCAAAAAACATCAAACATTCTATTCTTACTGATCTACTTCTGGCTAAATAAGTTGTGCAAACAACATGCCTCTTTTGATGCCCTAAAGCTCTCTAGCTTGTCGCTAACTGTCACCTCTGTGAGTTTTGTAGTTCTCCTGCGAGAGTACATTCAAGTTGTCATGACATGCTTCCATGAGAATAACATGAAAATGCAAGAATTACGAAACAACTTCATTTTCCAAAATTCACCATAGATTATTGGTGTACTTGCTTATTTTGATTATGAGGTCATCCAGGCCAAGTTAGAAAGAAAATAAGCCCTCCCAGTTGCTAACATTTCTTTTTTCAACTACCAGTTCTCTGAATTAAGAATCAAGATTTGCCAACATGCCTCTTTTAAAGTAACATTCAATGCAACTCACAAATCCTTTTTCTTCTTGTCTGTCTCCCCTTCCAAGAAGTAACCAGAAGCCCCATACATATCTTGCATCTGCACCAGCAAGATCAGATGAGTGCTATGTTTGAAGCCAGACAGGCAATCCAATATTGAAGTACACCAACAGTCTTTGTGGCAAGGGAGCCTTGATCTCGGATTATACCTGCTTATCCAACCAGACAAGATATTGTACGACAGCAGCACCATCCCGTATGTGAGCCTTTCTCAAGCCACCCAACTCAACCGGGTTCTACAAAAACCATTAAATCCATTAGAATGCAAAGATTTGTTCATCATTGTGCTACTTACACGAACAGCTTCAACGGCAACAAAATTTACCATCAAAACATCTTTCAATATCACATTGGACAAATGCCAGAAAATAATATATATCACATTAGACGGACAATTTACTGGAATGAAAGTAGGTATGCGAACCTTCAGTGCTTTTGCAAGGGCCAAAGGTGACTGTTGCTGGAACACCTTCTCCAGATTCAGTTTTGAATACAAAGCATAGGAGCAAGAGGAAGAGTCAACCCACACAAGATCAACCCCCGCTCCTTCCGCTTGAGTTGTACCATTTCCAACTGTCTCCGCCTTAGGCTTTCGATTGATAGTACTCGTCGAGTCAAGCTGATCAGATGCAAGCAGTGCAACATCTGAGCTCACTGCAGTATAGTCCCGGACTTCTATAGCATTCTCTTCCATATACGAGTTTATCTGCATGAAAATGCACAAGAAAATAGACAAGTGATAAGTTTAGTTATTATTCCGAGGCTGGCTACGTAGAAGTATTTCTCAAGAATATAATCAGGAGAACAAAATTTTCAGCCTCAAATATACTTAGGTACATAAAATTCAACAAATAATCCAGGATTGAAGGATGCTACAGGCAACTGACCTCAGAAGACACCTTCCTTCTGTCTACATATAGGAAAGCAGAGTTGAGAGTTACGAGGGCAAATGCATGAACAACTGGACAGTATGGGACATCACTTCCTCGAATATTATACAACCAAGCAACCTGCAAGAACAGCAGCAGCTCTAAAAATGTTTGTACTTCAAAAGACAAAGATAAGGAATAAGTCGAGTTGCCAAGAACATGACTTTCACCTGATCAAGTGTGGTAATAATAATACCACGAGCTTTTGAAGCTTTCAACTTCCCCCTCAAATCATGCAGCTTTTCTGCAACTGAACAACCAGTAAACTCCAGCGGCTGGACAACAACTGGATTTGCTTCATCCGCTGGCCGATTTTTCCAGATCTCGTCTACTAAGTCCGTAGCAGTTTGGACTAGCTTCTGCTGTTTCTTTGCAAAAGCAGACTCCCATCTGTGAGCAGTGTCTGCTGATATACACCATGGATTGACACCAACAGCAGCTTCCTCTGGTAAATTCTAGATAAAGGACACAAGGATCAGAAGGGAAAAAGAAATCAAAAGTTTACATTAAACCGAGATTATAACACAAACACAGCTAACCTAATAAAGAAAAACTACAACAGAGTCAAAACAACTTGCAGTAAAACCAACAAAGTACCAGTAGTTGGAAACACCATTAATCAAGTACATTGGTAGAGTTCATTGAAGGAGATAGAGAGAGAGAGAGTAGATCAATTGGAGAACATATTAAAGAAAGCAGGCACTTAATCCATACAACAACTCCCTAACTACAAGCAAACAAGCAAAGATGGGTAACCCACCTCAGCCATCCAGACATCCACAGCAGGATCCTCGGCCATTCGCATAAGGGTCCACTCATTGCTCAGTTGTTGCTCAGCCTGCAGAAAGTAGCGCCCATCTGTCCATAACCTTGCCTCATCCTTTGTGATAAGAGCCAAACCTGGACAAAATACAAGCAAATTACATGAAACCCATCAACCAGCATCCATCAGAGGTCAAATTAACTCGGATATATATGCCGCCAGGGCAGTCAAAGCACACGCATTTTAGATATAGCATTAAAAACTGCATCGATGTGGAAATGGAACAGAAATTCCAGACAACAAGTCAACGTATGGACTTGGACACAAATGCAATTTAGCAATGGAAAGCAAATGCTCCTCCAAAGTGGCAATCCGTTCAAAAAGAAGACTTCCAAATATGATCGCCACCCCAACATACTTCATAAATCATAAGTCATAACACAATCAGAATCATCGGCAACCTATGATTGCGCCTACTAAATGAATCAAAACGGTTCAGAAACCGAGAAATAAAACATATTTGACTGAAAGGGAGATCTGTAGTGAAGTTGTTTAGACTGACCAGCGCTTCCAGTAAAACCAGAAACGAATTCGCGCCTCGTATCCCTTGCAGATACATACTCGCTCTGTGAATAACAGCAATAAAAAAGCATAATGATAAGTAAACTCAGTAGCGATGAATGCAGTATGGCAATTATGATTCAGCAAACCAGATCAATTCCACTGATCCACGAAAAAGCAACGAACTTTTCAGAATAAAACAGAGAACCCATGAGAGAGCTAAGGCAGGTTAAGCATCACAGAGCGGCGATGAGAGACCTGATGATAATCTTCAGATGGAACGACCAAGGCATCCAGAGGAGGAGAGTGAGCAGCCATTAAAGACCTCAGAGACGAGAGTATTTCCGCCATGGTTCTGGTCCGATCGATTCAGCAGTCGAAGGAGAGACTGTAATCGGGGAGGAGTACAGAGAGCTGGGCAGTGGAAGGATTTTGAGATGGCGAGACCGATGAAATAGAGTTGGAACTAAAAACCAAATGTGGGAAAGGAGCGGTGTCTCCGGAGTTACAGAATCCTGAGAAGTAAACTAACCTCCTTTCACCGCCACGATGGCAATTCCGCCGTCGTTTGGCCACCCCAGCCCCACAATTGATTTCCTTTTTTCTTTTTTTTTTTTATTTGATAACCCAGGGATCCTCAGCCCCACGTGTCGCTTGAGCGACAGCGGGGCCTACTAAACCACTGGGGGTACCTGCATACTAATCGTGGCTTTCTGCTACCAACATCGGGGAGGCTTTGCCTCCGATACCAAGGGTGCCGCCGGGAACGCTCAAGTGGCGCCACTGGGAATCGAACTCAGGACCTCTCACATCCAGAGCTCAATTGGACCAGTGGTTTCACCACTAGGCTATGTTACCTTTGGCGATTTCCTTTTTTCTTTTTCATTTGCGTGCAAGCAAACAAACTTTACAATTACAAAGCAACAAGCAACTTTTACAGTGTAAAACTTAGGGATTGATGTATTAAGTTAATTAATATATTATCAGTTGATGTATTAAATCAATTGGTAATATTAGGCACATACTTTGTTTGGAAGTTTATATTGTGTTTTGTTGTAAACCACAAAAGTAATTTTTGAGTGATTGTGAAGAATCTCAACAAAAAGTAGAGATTAATAATCCTTCAATTATGAGTGATTGTAATGGGGCCTTTAAAAAGTTAATGCATGTATTCTAGCTCAATACAAGCCAAAAAACGATTTAATTTCACAAATACATAAATTATTTCAATACACCATTTGAAATCACAACTTCCAAACCACCCCGTAATGTAACTCAATCTAGTTATGCTCCTAACAAGGGCTTTTGTTAGGAGATACTGACATGGTTGGATAGGCTTCCACGTCGCCAAGCCGTCATCCATCGGTGGAGGAGAAAACGCGCCAGAATGTGAGGGAGGAGAGCCGATTCCATCAGCTGGGCCAAGCCCACGACGGCTTGCGGGGCCCACCGGGCCCACAAATTCAAAAACCCAGAATAAATTACCCTAAACCCTACCCCTTTTCAGTTCTCTCTCAAATTATTTTCCCCCCTCTCTCTCCCTTTCTCTCTCTCTTTCCTCTCCTTTTCCCTTTCTTCCTCTCCCGAACGCAGAAGAAGCGGCCGCGCGGTGCGGCGCTTTGTAGCGAACTCGGCGGCGGCGCTTTGTAGCAAACTCGGCGGCGGCGACGAAGCAGCGGCAACGAAGGGGTTGGTTGACAGCGGTCGTTGACGAAAGAACAACTTCGTTGACTGAGGTAGTCGAGTTTTTTTTTTTCTTTTGGTCATGGATACTCATGTTCGTTTGAGTATATTGGAGTTAGGGTTTCATAGCTTCGACTAGATCTGGGTTTTCCTTTTCCTACGTTTTTTCTGGATGAGTTTGATGGATTTGTTTTCTGGTAACTTAGATTTGACTAGATCTGGGTTGCTTTTTTTTTTTTTTTGTTGTTGATATGTTTTCTGGGTTTGTGGATTTGATTGGATCTGGGTTTGGGTTGCTGGGTTTGTGGATTTGACTGGATCTGGGTTTCTTTGTTTTATGGGTTTTGTGGATATGTTTGGTGTGCGTTTCGATATTAGTTATGTTCGGGCAGAATATCAGTTTTCAATTATCTGGATAGTTGTGTGGTTGAGATCTGGGATTCGAATTGTAGATCCAAAACATTAGTTCCTTTCATAGTGGATAACAATTAGCATGCTTGTGGATATGTTTTCTGGGTTTGTGGATTTGATTGGATATGAGTTTGAGTTCCTGAGGTTTGTGGATTTTGTGGATTTGACTGGATCTGGGTTTCATTGTTTTCTGGGTTTTGTGGATATGTTTTATGTGCATTCCGATATTAGTTCTGTTCAGTCAGGATATCAGTTTTCAATTGTCTGGATAGTTGTGTGGTTGGGATCTAGGATTCGATTTGTAGATCTGAAACATTAGTTCCTTTCATAGTGGATAACAATTAGCATGCTTGAGATACTACTTTTTTATGATGTGGATATTGTTCTGTAATTGATTGTTCAGATATTAGTTATGTGATGTCTGGATATTTATTTACTTCGTCTTGATATTTCTCTGCCTTATATGAATGCTAGTTCACTTATATTAGTTCTGTGCAGTTGAGATATCTGTTATAGTATGTCTGGATATTTGTTTTATGTATCTGGATATTACTTCTATAATGTTAGTTCTGTGATGTCCAGATATTGAAAATATTATGTTTGGATATTTGTACTCCATGTTTGGATATTTGTTCTCCATGTTTGGATATTTGTTTGCTCTTTATTGTATGGATTATAGTTACCTTATATTAGTTCTGTGTGGTCAGGATATCAGTTGATTTATACGTGGATATTTATATATGCTCCAGGGATATTGGACAATGGCAAGAACAAAAACAACAACGAAGAGAGCGTAAGAGAAGGATCATCCCAACCTCGTCGTGGCATGATCGAAACGTGGGGGGCTCGGACGGACATGAGAAAGAAGATAATCGAGAATTTGCACAAGCAAGACAACATTTGAACTATTCCTTTTCCGTTTTTTATGTAGTTATACTTTTTTAGATTTTAGATTATGGGATTGCCAAGTTGGAATGACAATAAATACTAGTTGTATCGCAGTTTATCGAAAAACGACTTTATTTTATTATGAATTTGCTTAAACTAAATATCAACACAAACAAACATAGATAAACATCCACAAAAAAACAAATGCAAACCACCGAGAATAATATCCGTTCACCATAAACAAAATCCAGAACACCCAGACTAATATCCCACCGCCTAATACCAATATCGAGTCAGCCTGTAATTAATATCTTCATCATACAGACTAATATCCACCACACACAGATTAATATATGGATGTCTTAGACTAATATCCGGCTACACAGCAAAAATATCAACACATCATGAACTAATATCCTCCAATCACATAATAATATCTTATCACCACACACTAAAATTGATCACCCTACATTGTGTTCAAAATCATTTCCACAATATTGTCTTCTAAACCCGAAACCAAAACTCAAACTCTATACCTGAAACCCTAATCGTAGACACTAAACACAAAGCTTGAACCCTGAACCCTTAACTCTAAACCTCAACCCCAAAGTCAAATCCTAAATCATAAACTCCAAACCCTAATTCTAAACCCTAAAGTTTAAACCCTAACACTAAACCCTAAATTGATGTAATCATATACAAATCAGTAGATAAACATCAACACAGAACAAATATCCAAACTACCCAGACTATTATCTGACCGTATCAAACTAATACCCACCACATACATATTAATATCTGCCCATCACATACTAATACCCACCACACACAGATTAATATCTGACCATCGCAGACTAATACCAACTACACATAAACTCTAAACCCTAATCGCTAAACACTAAATTCTTAACCCTAAATCCTAACCATTAAACCGTAAATTGGTGTAATATGGTTGGCTAAGTGTGTGATGCTAGATGCTTAAATAAACAAAGGATCACATCTGAATAGTTACCAAAAGTGCCCCAATATCCGTACTACATAAAAAACTATCCACATCACCCAAACTAATATTCATTCCTACCATAAAAAATATCCGCACCACCCAGACTAATATTCATTTCTACCATAATAAATATCCTCACCAACCCTAACTAATATCCATCAGTTACAAACTAATATCCTGCTACACAGCCAAAATATCCACACATCGCCAACTAATATCCTCCGGTCACATAATAATATTTTATCACCACAGACAAAAATCGACTACCCTACATTGTGTTCAAAACCATTTTCACAATATTGCCTTCTAAACCCGAAACCCTAATCACTAAACACTAAATCCTTAACCCTAAATCCTAATCGATAAACCGTAAATTTGTGTAATATGGTTGGCTAAGTGTGTGATGCTATATGATTAAATAAACAAAAGATCACATCGAAATAGTTATCAAAAGTGCCCCCATATTCGTACAACATAAAAAAATATCTGCACCACCCAGACTAATATTCGTTCCTATCATAATAAATATCGTCACCAACATTAACTAATATCTACCTCTCACAGACTAATATCGTGCTACACAGCCAAAATATCCACACATCGCGAAATAATATCATCTAATCACATAATAATATCTTATCACCACAGACAAAAATCAACCACCCTACATTGTGTTCAAAATCATTTCTACAATATTGCCTTCTAAACCCGAAACCAAAAAACTCGATGCCTATACCTGAAACCCTAATCGTAAACCTTAAACCCTCACTCTCCTACTATGATTGTTTCATGGGCCTTCGACCCATGGGCCCTCGGCGGGCAGCCCTAACTAAGGTTGCAAGCCTTATGTGTTAGGACTTGATAGTGTGTTAGTTTTGATGGAAAACACAATATTCATTACACACAAACTAATATTCATTGCATATAATATCAGTTTATGCAAAAATAAATATTCATACAATCCAGACTAAACTGTAAACCCAAACCCTAACACTAAATCCTAAACCAAAATCCAAACCCTAACCCCAAACCCTAATATTGAAAAACAAATAAATATCAACACAAACAAACATAGATAAATATCACAAACTAATATCCAACCATTTAACAATAAATATCCGCTATAGCCAAAAGAAATATTCATTGTAACCAGAAGTAAGAAACAGAAAAAGAAAAAAAAAAGGTGTTGAGAGAGAGAGAAGAATGGTGGACCCAGCGCCACTTTCCCTTCCTCTCCCAATCCCGCCCAAATTATAGTGGACCCAACGCCATCTTCTTCAATTTTGCGGCTGGGTCGGCTTCAAGTCCTAGCCCAAAAGCCGCTCACTTAAATGAGCCATTACAAGCCTTCAATCCTCCTCCCTTGAATTATAAGTGGGCCGACGTGGCTATCATCTCCACCGTGTCAGTATATGTTAACAGATTTCCCTGTTAGCAGTTTAACTTTTTCGAATGTAACTAGGTTTAACCCTCTAGATCACATCCAAACATTCCTTAACGGGTCGCTGAATCGCTTCCTGATGCACAACGACGCCGTGCAAAGACCCGTTAACCTCCGGACGGCGCACGACAAACTCCTCTTTGTTCACCGTTGATCGACCATGGAGCTCACCCTTCCGTCCGGCATCCCTAGCTCTTCCACCTTGCGGCGGCTCAGAATTCTTCCCCAAAGACACACCGCGTGGTTCTCAGGGATTCAATACCCCGTCTTCCCTTCAAGCCCGAGACCAATGGACCGACAGTCATTGACGTCAAAATCCACAACCCCGTGCGCCGCCTCTCCTATCGGTGACAACGGCTCCTCCTCCATCTCCGCCGCTTCGCCGGTACAGGCAGGTAAAGTTTGGTTCTTGGTCTCTGATTTCGCCTTTTTTTTCTTTCTCTGATGGATTCTGAGAACTGGGTTTCTGTTACAGTTGGAGGCCGGGTTGGGGAAGTGAAGAGGGTCACCAAAGAGACCAATGTTTTTGTGAAAATTAACTTGGATGGTACTGGGGTTGCTGATTCTTCTACGGGAATCCCATTTCTCGATCACATGTTAGATGTTAGTGGATGCCTGAACATCATTACTTCACAGTTTGCAACTTCTCCCTTTTTATTTTTGGTCCATTGCTAAATAGCATTCTTTTGCACTGGATTTGATAGACGATAACCCCTACCTTTTGGTTGATTGTTTGATCGATTGTAGCAACTCGCGTCGCATGGGCTATTCGATGTACATGTGAGGGCAACTGGTGACATTCATATCGATGACCATCACACCAATGAAGATGTTGCTCTTGCTATTGGCACGGTCAGTACTTTCAGTTGTCTTCCTCTTTTCATTTCTCAGTTGTCTGCCTTCATATAGCCCACCATATGTAACTCACGAGTCATGTCCGTGGATTGTTGATTCAAAGAAAGTCTGAAGCTTGTCTGGGTCTCTGTAGGCTTTGCTGCAGGCTCTTGGTGATAGGAAAGGAATTCACCGGTTTGGGGATTTCTCAGCTCCTCTGGATGAAGCATTGATTCACGTCGCCTTGGTATGTTTTCTGCGCTATCCGATTAATTTGACTCAATTTAGAATTGAGTTAGAACCACGAGATTGAGCTGAGTGATTTATAATGTATTTGTGTGTGTACTTGCTACATCTTTGTTGGAGGTGCAATCTGTGGAAAGCAAAAGTGGAACTGGTAGAGGGCTACAGGCAAGAATTTGAGAACTTGGTTAGGCGGTGGAATAGTCTTTAGGGTTGTTTGAGAGAAATAAGACGCTAATCTTCGATAATCTTCTTTACAGGCATTTGAATTGAAATATACATTATTCTGACATAATAGATGTGCACTATATTGCTACAGGATTAGCTCTTGATTTCGTACCTGAATACATGATCTTCGCAACAGCACAAAATGCTAATTTGCAGTTTCTCGTATTCCAGGATTTATCTGGGAGACCATATTTAGGTTATGATTTGCAGATTCCCACTCAGAGAGTTGGTACCTATGACACTCAGGTGCTACGATTTCGTTTCTTTCATCTCGATGCTTTAATTTGTGTCCTGAATTCGTATTAGTTCGTAGCCTCAAGTTGGGTCTTGATCATGTAACGGAGTGCACACAATCGTGCTTTTCATTCTGTTAACTTTCTAACTGGTGGTTATGTGCTTTGTGCAGTTGGTTGAGCATTTTTTCCAGTCATTAGCGAATACTTCTGGTATGACACTTCACATCCGACAGGTGAATACTGTTCTAAGCAATGCTAGAAAGATAAACTAAGTGCAGGCTGTTTTCTGTTACATTACATCCACTTAAGGGCATTTGAATGGAACTGGGTCGGAAATCTTCAGCTCCTGAATTTGCATTTCTGCAGCTTGCTGGAAAGAATTCCCACCACATTATTGAGGCAACCTTCAAAGCTTTCGCCAGGGCTCTTCGACAAGCAACAGAACTTGACCCACGACGCCTTGGGACCGTACCAAGGTACCCCCAAATCTCAGATAGTCCCTCTGCTGAGTTCTTTCAACAAACAGCATTTCCAATTAGTTCTCTTTTGATTGGTTGACCCCACTGATTCTACTCTGTTGGATGCTCCTGTGTGCAGCTCAAAGGGTGTTCTGTCGCGTTCTTGACGAGTTCATTGCCATAGTTGAAGCAACAAGTGACTGAGGGGCAATCTGAGCATGTTGGGATCACAAGTACCCACCAATTTGTAACTCCATCCCAATTACGAAGACTAGTGTTGTGGTCGAATGTGAAATCATGGAATTCATAGGATGATGGGGTCAGCCAAACCCGTTTCAGTCTTTGATGCTTCTATTGCCCTTTCCAGAGTGACTGGGAGGGGATTAATTTTTGGAATTGTGAATGAGTTGGGTTTATAATATATATTTTAGGCTTGTGCGTTTGGAGATATATTACTTATAGCCAGAATATTAAAAGTTTCATGACAAATATAATTATTTTCGTTACAAACTTTAACAGTGTCATTGACATCGTTAGTTACTTTAACGGTATGCTTACTGGGATGCCAACTTACCGGACACATCATAGACAACTCAACCTTCGATGACAAGTGGATGACACGTCATTTTTAATTAAAAAAAAAAAATTCTTCCTCACAAACTTTCCATTGCGTAAAACAAAAGAATATCCAAATTCCATTGGCAACCTTTGCCATCCCCAATTCAATGGGTAACCTCCGCGCATTGGCCGACTTCAGCTGTTGGTAGAGTTTCAGAGGAAATTTAGAGGCTGGTGGAGTTTCTCCCCTCTTCCACCTCAGATTCATTGGAGAAGAAGCTGATTGCTCGGCTGGATTCGGCTGGATTCACCACACTCGATATACTCCTCGATTTCTTTTCTGCTAACCCACTTTACCTTCCATCATCCATTCCCCGTATATCCCGCCCTTCATAATTGTAAGCCACGTAACATACTGCTTATACACATGGATAAACACTAGATGCACAGAGCCACACCATTATATATCGCAATTCGATCGAAAAGCCCTTCCTCCTTTCTTCAACTATCTTCGTTTTGAACCAATACACCACTCTGATCTTGCTTTTGCCTGGAGGAAGATGAACTAACTGTTTCTAATAGAGTATAAGTTGAGAGGAGGAAGTGGAGGATGCAAATGAAGCTGCAATGTGTGTTTCATCTTCTCTGTTATACACGAAACGGAACACCAGCAGCTGCTGCTGCTGCATTTTTGTCCTCTTTTACAGCAGCTGCTGCTACTGCAAACTCTGAAGCACCGAACCCAGCTGATTTCTGATTGTCAACGCAACAAGTAACATTGCCTCCACAACCCAATATTGTCAACATTCACAACACTACCATCCGTTCATTATATAACAACATTACAGCCATCTATTTCAACCATAGCAACAACACAAACAAACAAACACAGCCAACCTATTCATGTTCATGTTCATGTTCATGAGATATGAACGAACGATTCATCTAGTACAAACAAAACAAAGTAACATAGTTCTACTGACAGTTTCAGTTTCCGAATTCATATCATATCTCTCTTTCTTACTTACTTACTGTGGCTCGCCATACGCCTTCGATGCATTGAGCAGAGCTTGCTTCCTTAACTCCAAGCATTTCTTCTTCTCCACTGCAATCTTGAGGAACAGAAAATTCTTTGCCACTCTAAGTAAAATATAAAACAAAAAACGAAGGTTATACGTACGGGCTCTCATGAACTAATCGGCATATCTACTGCAAGGATGCATGGGAGACAATAAATTTACCTATGAACTTTGGCATACATTGTTGGCGAGAATTTGTTTTCTTCCTCCAGATCCATTAGAGATGCAATACAGTCCGTTGCATTGTCATTAGCAAATGTTTCGGCACGACGGATTTCAAGTCCCAGTTGTTCCAACTTCTCAGCCACCGCATAAGATTCTTCATCAGTAGATATGGCAGGCGGGATCACGCTTGCTTGGAGAACAGCACGTGCAACATGAATGCTAACCTCTCGAGCGCCGCCAATATCGTCCATTGTGATTGGAACGTCAACAAGATCAGTAGCTTTGTTGTGGTCAAATTTGAGATGGAGGTTGGGGTTGTTCTTGAACCTCAGCAGGCCCTTGTACTTGAGCATGATAGCCTCCCTAATGCCCTCTGCAAGATCCAACTGCTCTTGGCTTGGTTTCTGGTCTCCCGTAAAAGGATTGAGCCTCTGCAGCTCGAAAAACCTAGAGAATATATAGTGCCGCCTTGAGATCCATCTGCCAATTCCAATTGATGAAACCACAATTCTAATTCGGTTATCCCGGTTGGTTGATGAAACACAATCGCACCAATCAGGAAGGAAGATACAAAGGAACACAAACAACATAACCATAGAATACGCAGGCAGGCGGTAATTTCCTAGAGAATTAATTAAAAAGAAATCGAGCTACAGTTTGTTAGATTCTAATTAGAAAATGAATCGAAATCTCGTTCGAATCCATGAGTCTGGATCTAGTTTGAAGTTTACACTAAAACATACATACATACAGAAAGAAGCAAGGAACGGTACACACAAAGAAACGAGATCAAATTTGATCAACAGAAAACAATCAATCAGTATAAGGTTTGGAGATTTCAATGGAAGGAGAGGGAAAACCTAGATGATTAAAGGTAAGTGTAAAGAGTCTTACCGCCATCAGTTGTGGAAATCCTGGAATCGGAGAGCTGGATGCTGAGATGCAAAAGTATAGACGAAGAAGAAGGAGGAGGAGGAGGAGGAGGAGGAGAAGGAGGCGGAGGGGAAAGAGAAGGAGAAATCAGAAGAAAATGGAATGGAAGGGACGGGAGCTGTTTGTTCCCGATGAGGACTCAGGATTCTCGGCTGTTGCCTGTATGTTTGTTTGGGTTTTATAGAGGCAGAGAAACAATGACTTGCAGATTTTCCCGCCCCCTTTCCCCTACCCTCAAATCAAAATTCAAAAATTTCACTCACTTGACGTGAGCTTGTTTTTCTCGCTCCTCACACTCCACTAAACAACCACGTTAATTACGTCCTGCCATTCGTCCGACTGGCCTGTGGGTGTGTGAGTCTGTAGGTAGGAAGGAGAAGAGAAAGGAAGGAAAGGGGTTTTTTGTTTTTGTAAACAAATTATATTTTATTCTTCAGATTATCAAATCACAATAATATATATTCTTTAATATCTGGCTAAACCGGATTAAACCCTTAACTCATTTCCTTAATCAGGCCAAATCGGATTGACAACCTTGGTTACAACTTATAACGAGTTAAGATTGTAAAATGATAATCTCAAACGCCTCGTTTCTTTTCTAAAATGCATACTAGCACGAAATCCCACACTATCATATATACATAGTTGAAATTATAAGTAGTGATGTTATTGATTCATCACATAATAATAGTTTTAAACATCGTTTATTATATCATCTCACACAATAAATGTGTTTTCAAAAGTTGTAGAAATTAAGTTATACTGAGAATTCGACATTGTTTTGTTTTTTTAATGTGCAAGTCAAATGAAAACTGGACCCAGTTTTAACAAAACTCACACCTAACTCAACCCGCCAATTACAAAAGCGGGCTCCCTTCCAGCCCAAAACTCGTCAAGACCAGGTTCAAACCGTTTGTTTTTCTAGGTACGGGTCGAGTTTTAAAACAATCTACACCCGACCCAACCCGCCAATTACAATATCGCGCAAAACTTGCTCCCGATTTAAAACTCATCAACACCAAGTTCAACTCACTTTAACTGTATCGAATTAAGTTGCACAATAGTCCATCAAAATGCATTGTTTTATTTAGGGGTGACAATCGGTTTCCCGGTTATCGGTATAACCGGAAAACTCGGTTGTCGGATGGAGTTTGCGCAGCGCCGATATACCGCCTCCCCACCCGGTATATACCGCCGGTTTTTCGATTAACAGGATACCGTGTGGGAGAGGGGCAAAAAGCCAAAAATACAGCGCACAGGCCAACAGGGGGGTTCGACTAAAACGAAACGAAGGGAAAAAAAAACCTAGTGCCACTTCTCTTCTGCTGCTCCATCGTCTCAGGGAGATTAGTGGAGAGCCGCAGAGGGGCATCGCTTCACGCCTTCACCCATCGCCATCTGCCGCCTCGCCTTCCGACCTCTCGGCGACGCCTCCTTCCACCCTTCCCACTCTCACAGTCCCACTTCCCTCTCCGATTCTCAGAGCCGCAGAGGGGCTCGCTTCAAGCCTTCACCCATCGCCATCTGCCGCCTCGACTTCCGACCTCTCGGCGATGCCTCCTTCCACCCTTCCCACTCTCACAGTCCCACTTCCCTCTCCGACTCTGCCTTTCGCCCTTTCACCCTTGCCAGACGACGCCTTCCTCTTCTCCAGTCGCCGACGACGAAGCTTGCCTTGTCTTCCCCAGTCGCCGTCGGCCTGCCACTATGTAAGTTCCCTTATCTTCCTCTTGCCTTCATCTTTCTTCTTCCCTGCCCCTCCTTGTTTATGTTGGATTGTTGGTTTGGATGAACAGAGGGCAGAGGCAGAGGCGCAGAGCTGCCGAGCTCCTCGAACTCGACCTACGTCCAGTAGCCAGCCCATAATTGAGAACAGCAGTCGCCAGCAGCCAGTAGATTTGATCATTTGAATTGGAAGCTAAAGTGAAAAAATTACAAATGTACGAGAAATTTGATTTTTGAGTTGATAATTAGTTATGTGAAATTGTGAATGGTGTTTGGAGCTTTGAATTAGACAATTAGAATTAGTGATTGAAAGCTTGGAATAGTCAGTAGACACTAAACAGTAGTGTTGTGTAATTGTGTTTGATAATTTGATCATGGAACTTGAATTGAATTAGTGAATTTGAATTGTGAACTAGACAGTAGTGTTGTTGATTCTTTTCCCCATCTAGTTATGCATTCATTAATGAGAATATGAGATTATGTTTATATGTTAAGTGTTAACTTACCATTTGTGTTTAGTATGCCTTGAATTGTGCAATGTCAGTCTGAAAGAACCCTCTTGTTAAGGATTCTAGAGACTGATCTTCGGCACCCGTAATTATCGTAACAATTAGGGATTTAGGGATTTAGATGAGAATTGAGGATTAGGGATTGAAGAACAGAATTGGGGTTGAGATAGAAGAATGGCCGACAGCCTTTAGGGAAGAGAGGGACGAGATTTGAGAAGGATTAGAGATTAGGGTTTGAGAGATACTTTCTGTAATATGATTCTTGACTGATCATGACGTAAACCCAACGCACGTATATATAGGAAATAAACCCAAAACCTAATAAACTAATCCTAACCTAATCGGCCTACCCTAGCCGCCCAACCCTGCTAATAAGCCTAACATAACTATTATTATTATATATATATATCTAACATTCCACCCTCCTTGAAAGCGACCTTGTCCTCAAGGTTGCAGAACTTTCATCTTCTTGACCTTCCGCTTTCTTCGTTTCCAATTGCGCTCAATCCCTTGAATGAACTCTTCTCGCACCAGTCCAACTTTCCTCGACTCTCCTCCACCCACGTGACATGTATCACGTTCTTCATAGCCGAACAATCTGCCATCTTCCTTTTCGAAATCAACGAAATAAGAATCGGAGAATAGTTCTTCATTTTGCCCATCATCATTACCCACCTTGAGATCTTCAATGAAATGTTCCATAAATTCCTCCATGGGCTTGGTGGTGAAAACAACCCATAACTTTACCCAACCTTCCTTTCCTACTCCCTTGGGTCGGCCCACATTAGCTTGTAAGAATGAGTTGTGGCCCAAACCCAAGTCCAGCATCTCCTTACTCCTAACTTCGCGTGGGCTTGTCTCCTCCAAGAGCCCACCTTTTAAGTCCACCAAGCTTTCTTCTTTCTTTAAATGACTTCTCTGTAAAATTAGCCCAATAAGATAGCCATTGTTGGGCTCGATTTCTTTAAGACTTGGCCCATCAACGAACATAAACTTCCCCTTATGATGCGGCCCAATTGTCTCAAAGGAGCCCACCACTTCCTTCTCCTTTGCCAGCCCATGGTCAAGACTGATGGGCCCAAGCTCTGTATACTCTGGCCCACTAAGGTTGTAGGGTTGCAACTCTTGGAAGGGAAAGAGAGGCAACGAAGCGCATGAGGGAGGAGCATCGCCGCCCACCGTCTTCGTCTCCCTCGTCCCTTCTTTTCCCGACGGCCACCTCGGCTTCGACGATTTTCTCATCGAACGGCGACCACCATGCCGACAGGGAGGGGGGCCCGAGTCCGTCATCTTCTTCGTTCGTTCCTCCTCCATCTTCGTCGTCGACTCGCTCCCAGGCAGCGGAGCTGCCACTTCCTCCGACGGCGGCCTCGCCGTCTTCTTCGTCGGCGGCTCCTTCTTTGGCGACGCTCGCTCCTCCTCGTTCTTCCACACCTCTTCCAGTTTCAGCTTCAACATCTTTGTGAGTTCGTTGATTGAGAGCCTTTCGAATTTCGACATGGCTGCGGTATGAGTGCCTGCAACCGGGCTCTGATACCACTGAAAGAACCCTCTTTTAAGGATTCTAGAGACTGATCTTCGGCACCCGTAATTATCGTAACAATTAGAGATTTGGGGATTTAGATGAGAATTGAGGATTAGGGATTGAAGAACAGAATTGGGGTTGAGATAGAAGAATGGCCGACAGCCTCTAGGGAAGAGAGGGACGAGATTTGAGAAGGATTAGAGATTAGGGTTTGAGAGATATTTTCTGTAATATGATTCTTGACTGATCATGACGTAAACCCAACGTACATATATATAGGAAATAAACCCAAAACCTAATAAACTAATCCTAACCTAATCGGCCTACCCTAGCCGCCCAACCCTGCTAATAAGCCTAACATAATTATTATATATATATATATATATCTAACACAGTCTTGTTTCTTAATGAGATTATTGTATCTCTTTTGTTCTTTCATGGGTGAATCTATTACTGATGGCACTCTAGCTACATTCTTAAAACTTAAATAGTTTTGTACTTTTGTTGATTATGTGTCAATTTTCTTGTACTTTTGTAGGACGAAAAAATCAAAGAAAGCTGGTTCGCTACCTCCTCGTCCTCGAAGCTCTTCAAAGAAAGGGAAGGCTTCAACTAGTGCACCTTCCACTACGGCATATCCACCTCCTCCATCGGCAGCAAATCCACCACCTCCATCTGCAGCAAATCCACCTCCATCTGCAGCAAATCCGGCTACTACTACTGGTGTTGCTGGTGAGGTACCTGGTGTGCAAAAGAAAATAGACAAGGGGAAGAGGAAGAAGACGTCTAAGTGGTGGATCCCTTATGATGAGGTGTTAGTGGATGACTATCCATTTGGAAAATGCAAACGGTGTGGGATGTTGATCAAAGCTCATTCTACCAACAATGGCACTACTGGTTTGAAAAACCATCATCTGATGTGCGAGAGGAGGTCGAAGGAATCTAGTGGGCAGTCAGTATTAAACTATCAAGCTAGTGGGACTCGTGAGGTAGGCTCTCTTACTCCGTGGAAGTTTGATCAGAACAAAGCTAGACATGCATTAGCTATCATGATAATCTTGGATGAGCTTCCATTTCAATTTGTTGAACGGGAAGGATTTAGGAGATTTATGACAGTATTGTAGACACCCTATTTTGTCCGGGTCAATTACTCAACTAAAAATTCTAACTTAATCTCGAAATTTCGTAAGATAGCCATTTCGTACAATTTAGCTGAATTCAATTCTAGTAGATCAAATAGGAGACTTTCGTTTGATTAGATATTGTTGTTGTAAAATCAAATCCAATCTCGGCTTTTGGCACAACGAAAATATAATAATAATAATAATAATAATAAAGAAGAACTTATTATCAAAATTATTACTAAATTACAATTACAATCAGAATAACAAATTACAAATATGAATTACTGCATAAAATTGCACTTATACAACATCATTATGATATTTGAAGCGCACTCTTACTTCATCCGCCATAATCCTGCAATAAGAAAGGAGATAGTCTATTCAGGCCCAGATCCAAGACAAATCCAGAAGATCACAGCCCACAGTTCAAGCCTAAGCATTAAAACCATTTTGGACCAGATCATGCAAAATGGGCCAGCAATCCGAACCAGCCCAACGACCCCAACCAACAGACGGACCGGTCGAACAAGAACTGGTCCGACCAAAC